TCAATCATAAAAATATTATATGCGAGCATTATTAATTTACTTTTTCAATACCCATTACTATAATAAGAACTCATAATAATATGAACTCACGAAAAAGAAAATCCTGTCATGTGCCCTGACTGATGAAATTGATTAAATATTGTAATAGAATAACGATAATAGGTTATATTCATATTATAATATGAAACTTCAAAATATCGTTAAAAATAAAAGACTATACTTTAACAAAACAACAAAAGTTTCAACCACCAAACATTTTTTAAAAATCAATTTTACAAAATGACTATTTTGAATTTTTTTTAAAAATTATAGTAAAATTTAAAAGTCCCCCTAAAAAAAAAAAATGTTTATATATAAACTGTAGTACAGGGGCATAGATATTAATTATTTAAAAAATATATATATCAAAAATATTTAATAGAAAAAAAGTTATTTCATGTGGCAGATCATCGTGGGACTACTTCTTTGTATATCTACTATTATACTGTATAATATTAATATTGAAGTATGTGAGTACTTAGGTACATTTTTATAATATATATTAAATTATAACCTAACCTAATTCTTTTCGTTCTTATTAGGTATACATTTAATAGCTATTTTTTTGTGGACTACTTTTTTTTAATATATTATATAAGTAGTTAAAATATGCATATAAATCCAGGTTTTAAATACAAGACACATCAGATTGGTCGATGTTTATTATATTGTAGAACGTTTTTAATTTATTCACAATTATGATGGCGGTATAAATCAACAGCGGCACGGTGGTGATTGAAATACTCTCCTAGAAACTAATATTTCACAAGGGCAACTGGCAACTATCAAAGCCACGGATCACGGTGAACGTCACCGTTATTAGATTTATTTTTCATACTATTATTTATTATACTCGTCTTCGTTTAACCAACGCGGTAAAATTACACACATATTATGTTTATTTCGCTATACATTTTTTGTTAAGTAGGTAAATAAAATAGGTTACTGATGGAAAAATTTGCCCATCACAGGCGAGTGATTAAAACTTCAGTATACCCGCGGAACACCACGATTTTAAATTTTCTCTAATTAACATTTGTTGTTATTGGTATTTGATCATTAGATAACTTTTCATTATTATTGAGTATCAGGGATATGGGGGAGAATTTAATTCCTTCATCGCCTTTTCTTTTATATTAGTTATCGTACGACGTATAATAATGAAATATTTTATTTAATGTTACATCTTATTTAGACAAAAATATTTTAAACATAAGTCTTAATGGCTTCTTATTTTTTGAATAATAATTATTTTGTTTCTGGTTTTGTTTGAAACAAATTAATCAAAAATAATAAGAACTGTCAAAATATCTGGAGGGTGCAAGAGAATAGTGAGGATTTGTTCTTAGAGGGACTGCTGCCTCTTCTCTTCGGCTCTTCCACCTTAGTATTGTCTCTTTGATCCTCCCTTTTTAAAGTCATTTATTTACCACCAATGGATATTGCCCCATCGGAATGTCTGGCAAGTATCTCAAGAATTCAGAAGCATATAATCAAATGGACGATGAGGTACATAATTTCTATAGTCAATAATTGACTAATACTATCGATAATAAATAATATTGGTATAAAATATTCTTTATAGTAGGTATATATTGTAGAAAATCAATGGTATCTTACCTACTTAAATATATCTCGATAAACCCGTTTCAAATAAAAAAAACGTCTAAAGTGAAAACTATTAAACTTGATATTTTGTTTTGTGCCAATTAAATTCATGTGGTAACGTGTTTATGACGTATATAATTATCATATACTCGTATACTGGACGAATTTGAACACATATTGCTAGTAGTCAAAAAATTGATAAAGGACTAGATACAATATTTTTCTGCTGTTAACTGTTTTCTTTCGAAATATCATAGTACCAACATTTTGTATTACGGCTCTTGTGCATTATCGACTTCTACTGCTTCAAAATTTAACCCACCAACGTCATTTTTTCCCATTCCTCCCTTCTTTATTTCCACCTGGTATACTTTTTCAACAACTAAATTGTTTAGGTTTTAAAATTTGTTTAAGGACACTATAATGTTTTGTTATAACAGCAAGGTTCGGTTTGGATGTGATAAATTTTTTCTTTTTTCGAAGTTGGTATTACTATAGGCCGCTGTAGCTACAATTTTCTTGTAATTTTTCTGATAAATATACATAGGTCTCGAATTTGAATGATACTTATACAGGAAAAAAACAAAAACCCAGTCACTGCTAACAAGTTGGTGACTATAACGTTTTACCAGATCTGCATGAAACTGCATTTACTGAACTGTAAATTGCAAGTACCTATTATAAAATATTACACGTATAATAAGTTCTCGAATTGGGAAAAACAATTGAGACAGGACGCTAGTTTTAATTAAGAAATCATTATTATATAGTAGATAAATGTTACAGTTGCAGTCAACAGCCCTAAACAGCCAAAACTGACTAAAGTAAATCGAAATGTAACTATAAATAAAAGATAATATAAAGGTATAAAATAATAATAACTAATGGTAATGTGAAACTGCACTTTTTATTAAAAACTAACAAAAATTGTATCGATGTTTTTGTCTTTTTTTATATTATTAAGAAAACAAGTGAAATCAAAAAATACCTCCTCAATTCATCGAATTAATAAAATGTTCTACCAGAAATATCTTCTAAATAATTGGAGAAACATATTATGTAGAAAAGTTATTATTTTAGATCCAGAGCGTAGAGATAGGGATCTAGAGAGATAGCATAAACAACCTTTTTAATAGAAATCTTGTTCCTATATAGAGAGTATAATACCTTTTCTAAAAGGAAATTTTATCTAGTTGGTGCATTAAGAAGGTCATTTTTTAATTTTCCAACAGGTTTTCAAAATAATTTAGAAAAACTCGAAAGAAAATTATAGGTAAAATGGTAATATTTACGGTGCACCGTGGCGTTATCGATTTCATTAATTTAGATTCTGAGTGAAACCTTTAGTTTATGGTTTTACAAAGATGATTAGTTTTTTTTTCTGCTCCAACTTATAATGATAGAAATTTTTCTAAAAATAAATTACACTGGAGAGGTACTTTAGAGAGATAATTTTTTGATTTTCTTAGGAGTTTTATCATCAAATCCGAAAAACCAAAAAAAACCTGGGAAAAACGAGAAAATGTACAAAATATATTTTGTATAATATTACGATTTTTTTTCTGTGGACAATATTTCTACCAACAATTTTATTCCAATTTATAATAATAGCAATGTTTCTAAAAGAAATCTATCTGGAAAGATACTTTAGAGAGATCATTTTTCGAGTTTCCCGGGAGTTTTCCCCGAAAATGTAAAAAACCGAAAAAAACCATGGGAAAAACTTAGGAAAACCGAGAAAATCGGTACAACATTAAATACAAATATTATTAAAGAAAATATATAAAGCCTATATAGACTATCGTTACACAAGTGATTGTTATCACTATCAACTGAACTCCACTCGGAATCGTTTTTTCATAAGCAATAATTTATGGTTGCTTACCAGTATACATACAAGTATACATACCAGTATACCTGTAACAGTGGCTGCACCCGTTCCCATTATCCTAGTCTATCTTTCTAATTTTTACAACTTATGTTTTCTACCAGAAATATTGCATCAATCTAAAAATAACAAGAAATCTATTTAGTTCCTTTCAGTATAATATAGCCACAAATAGGAAGTTTTTTTATACCAGAATATTTTTCACAATAATTGGAAAAACCAAAGAAAACGAAATTAGTAAATACGATTTTTTTTGTATATTACGGGGCTAGGATTTCATAATTTTAAATTTGTATGGCTCATATTTTCTTCGAAAAATATTGCTTTAATTTTTAATCTTGTTGGTGTGTAAGAAAGTCCTTTTTTTATTTTATTTGTTGTGTTTTTAATTTATTGAGCAAAACCAAAATATGTAGAAATAACGGGAAAATTTACGAAAACAATTATTTTATTATTTTAAATTTTGTTTTAGCACATTCATAGAGACTTGAAATTTTGATACAAAAAATTTAATTTGTATTTTCAAGCCGTCATAAAATTTTCAAAACATTTGTGCCATTTTTGTGGTATTTATAAACATTTTAATGTTGCAAGTTTTTTACGTAATTTTTATTTGATAGGTGCTATATAGATAAAATTGTTGCTTATATACGGGTTTTTCAATGATGTTTTTTTTTTTTTTATGTGAATACTTTTTCTACCAGAAAGTATGCTCCGATTATCAAGTATAGCACCTTTTCTGATAATAAATATTCTCTAGCTGGCACTTAAAAGAAATTAATTTTTAAATTCTTATTTATACTCGAGATAATGAAGAAAACCTGGTTCTTTAGGTTAAAAATATTGAAAGATTAAAAATAAGGTTATCATTAGCAACTGTTTTTATTTATTTTATTTTATAATTATTAAGTTTTTATTACTTTAAATTTTTTTTAAACAATCATTATTTTCATGGAAACGCACATTGTAATCCATTTTATCCTAATATGACATATATAATGCTGACAAAGCAACACTGTTAGCTGAATTCCGCTCAGAATCGTTTTTTCGTTAGTAATGGTTTATTATTAGTTATAGGTGTAAGTAATAACTTTATGTATTCTTCTCAACTACCCACCTTCAGGCTACAGCAGTAGCCGCACCCGTCTCCAATATCAGTATTTTTAATTTTATTTAATTTTTCCGATTCAATCATTGGGCATATACGCATTATTTGTAATTACCTTCGATTAAAAATCAATGAATATTTTTAATTTAGTATAATATTAGAAAATTTATCAGAGCCCCAGGGAAGGAATGTGAGCAAGTTTATCGAGCCAAAATGTACCGTACGTACTCGTCAATTCCGGGAGAACAAGATGAGTTTCCAGTCGAACATTTTTTTTTTTTACAGTCTGTTACATAACACGTCTTCCCCCTCCATCATCGACAAACACCAACAAGGCGATGGCAACGCCGGGATCGTGGTTACGCGAGTTGTAATTGAATAAAAAACGTTTTAGTTCTTCGTGGACGTGCCTATAGTACGTTCGTCGCATTCGCGCTCACTATACTCGGTGTAGGTATACGAAGTTGGAATGTGGCCCGGGAGACGGCCGACTTGAGTAACGTACCTATAAACGCGAACGTCACCCCGCCGCACCGTATTCGTGGAAGTTTTCAGTTTTACCTAGTGATCAGTGAAAAACACAGCAGTACGTACGTTTCACCATCCGCAATGGGTCACAAAGACGAGTGGAAACCGTTGCTAGTAAACGGCAATGTCACGGACCGTTCCAGGCCGGATAAAGAACGGATTACCAGTTACCGGAGTCTAGTGAGTAAACGCGTTTTTACTATGCTTAATATTTATTTATTATACCATTGGAACCGACCAAAACTTAATCTAGATATCATATATAATAGGTAGATAGGAATAGGTATGTAATTTATAGACCAGCCCACTTGGAAGATTTGCTTTTAAGGCTACCATCATTTTCACATGAAGTTAAATGTTGACGGAATAGACGGACACAATTTGTTAACTTAAAATATTAGACACCCTAACTTCAATAGTTCTGTTTCATAAAATCAAAACTTAAATTAAACAATATTTCTAATTACTTGTGACAGCAGTAGACGTAACACCTCTCCCCATCTCCGACTTCATCCGCCAGTTTAACACCTACTATATCTATTATTAATCTAACCTAAAGACCTAATTTTTCTGTTAGTGAAAAATAATCACCCAAAAAAGAAATCAAATAAATGTTTCACGTTTCTTTGATATCATTCAAGAGTATCCATCTCAGAAGATAACTCTTTAACCATCCTTCTTTTAAGACAGCTAAGACAGTGAACTTGTGTTTTAATAACTACTTCTGCATTTTATCGTGATGTTATTTATATAATATTTCAATATTATGAAGTTTCGTAATTATTCATAGTTATTATAATATTAATTTCGTCATACATATAATTAATAGTAATTAATAGCCGAATTTAACATGCAATATTATTTTGTTTAATGGAAATACAATTTGTCATTATTTATTATTTTATGACAGAGATTATAAGGATTAAAGGGGGCTGTGAGCCGTTAGAGTTCTCGATCTCTCAAATAAAAAAGGGGCCCTATAAAAAAGTGTAAAACTACAACTCTTAAACATCGTTTCTTATTTTATCTATGCAGGTTTTTTTTCGGAAAAATTAAAACCTTCGAATTGAATTATCTCTAGTCCACTAATTTCATTAATGACTTAACCTGGTCTAACCTAATCTTTGCTTAAAGCGTTTCACTTTTAATAAAAAATCCAAACGTAATTTGTTTTTGACCTGAGGTTTTTAGAGTATATTATTATTCTAATGATATAACTGGTATTATTTTACTTGTTTTTTTCATGTATGACTTAATATACTTCCTAATAGAAACAATTACTCTCCTGCCATCTGATCTTGAGGAGGGAGTTAGGTTAGATTAGTGATGAAAACCACTATTGTAAAGATAATTTTTTTTAGCCGAAATTTAAACTAACGTATAAACTATGTATCACCAATCTAAATTGTCAATAAATAATTATTGGAATAAAACAAAGTTGAACTTTTTATGGCTTTACTAAGTACTTACTATTTAACACTTTAGAAAATTCGAAAATCTGGAAACATTGATTTTAAGCTTAAGTACCCATCTATACAATTTAAGTTTATTCAGTTTTAATTTGAGTGTATAATACTAATAAACCTATATTATTGTAATAAGATGAATAAATTTGCTCGAATTTCGATAACCAAGTACCTAGTGAAGATGAACTAAGTAATTAATTTTAGTTACACAATACAATTATTATATAACTAATGGTATAATTTTCTTCAACGCTGATAAAATATTAATACGATGAGACTCATGACATATTATTAATAGTATAGCGTATAGCCATATAGGTATCACTTAACTAATTTTAATGATGCACAACTGCGTAACTAATGTATATTATACATTAGAATGTGTTTAAACAATAAATATATAATGTATATATCTGTTTTTCTTTCAAATCTGTAGCGACTTAATGAATATATTATTATTACGTCATTGAGTCATTCACATTCCATGTGGTTTTGCATTTGAATGTTTTAGTTTGTTTGATTTGGATATTCAAAGAGGTTATCTCAGCAATGAACTATATTACACAGAAATCGATTGAAATCCAAACGATTAGGTCAGGTGAAGGGATAAATAATTTTTGATAACTAAGATTAATTAAAATATATTCCCGTTTAAGTATGAGAAATCATTAATCATTAAAATAGTTACTATAGTTTATTTATAATTTATTTAGCATTGCTTACTTAAGTATTTACTTAGTGCTTGAATTGGAACGCAGGGGGACGGAACGCTTATACTATTTTTATTTTTGTTGCCCTTTCTTTAATAATTATTCTACTAGATGGGCGGACGATACGTCTCTTTGAGTAAATAATATAGTCAAAGTCAATCATTGCAAGGTGATCTACATTTTGTAATGTCTCATAGTCCCCCTTTTTTTGCAATTCACTGCTTGTACTACCTAATAATATTTTATTAAATTTATACTAGCTCTGTAGTTATATTTTTTATTTACTATTTTATTTAGTTTCACATATAAAACATATTTTACTAATACGTTGACCGCCATGAGACCTTACCATACTCTGTCCTAACCGCTAATTGTTTTTTATAAGTCTACTGAAAGAAATTTCCGATTACTTTTAAAAGTTATATTTCTTTTTATTACTGTCTATCTAGAATAATTTTTATATTTTTAAGTTAATTTGACCTGAGATCTTAAATTAGATTGCATGGTTGTAGGATAACTACTATTCAAAAAAAAAATTATTATTTTCATATCACCGTGAGATCTCAAATTAAATCTCATACTAAAAAAATATGTATAACAAAACCTTAAATAAAATCTCAAATACCTACATATTATAAAATTATTTATTGTGTGTTTACAGATATAGACATAGGTAATAATATAAATAAAAATAATAATACAAATTAAAATAATTTATGCCACTGTTTAATCTAACAATTTTATTCGCAGAGTACCTACCGAATAAACTACCAAATTTGCATAAAAATTTTAAATGACGAAATCGTACGCCGTAAATTTATTCGTTTTCATTAGATTGATATAAAACATAAAAATAATAATACTTGTACTAATAATAGGTATTGAAGAAATCCACGCGCAATATACTTATATGAATATATAATATCATAATATAATTAGCACATTGTTCAAAATTAAAACATAGATCATATTTATGTCTACCTAAACCTATTTTATATAATATCAAGTTTACCTAATAGCGCATACTATAATAAAGGTATACAAAAGCATACACAAAAATAAATCTCCCCGTTATAAATCATTTTAAAAATTATTATAATAACCGACGCGGATTAAGTTGGAATTATAAGTGAATTCAGGCGGCAAATACCATCCAAAGTTATATAAAGAGGCTTAAATGGTATATATTGGCGGCAAACACGTTTCAAACTAACCGGTTTTTGCACGTTTCACACAACGTATATGAATATTATAATTTATAATATTATATCTAATATCTATAGTCTATAGAATTATTATACGATAAGAATATAATAGTATTCGTAAACATATTCGATATATTCTTTAATGACTTTTTTTATTGTAATATTACAATTTGCTCGGGGAATACACGTGTACAGATAGAAACCCGATACAAGGTGAGAGAGTTATGAATTCTCATTTATCATTTGCAGTCGTTTCTGTCAATTGATACCTACTCCAAAAAGCCTAAAGTTTTTGTCAACAACTTTCCCATTGCGCTTTATTGGTGACAGTCAGACACTCGACCACAGATACCTCTACAGTATTGGTTTACACGTAGGTATAGAACCCTTCGTCTTTGATATGGGTTCCATCACGATCATGTAATTTTTAATATTTTTTTTTCCACCCCGTAGACATAATATATAATAATATAATATACACTATAGTTTTCAATAGATCACTATAGTTTATTTATTGTAGTAATATTTTAAGATTAAATCATTTTATTTGCCATTTTAAACATTAAAATACAATTCATCACTCTGTAGCGTAGTGTATTTTACAGTAAAATTATTATATAATACGTATATGCAAAAATCTGTCAGCAATTTCTGAAATAACCCTAGATAACAAATTTATTTGCAACAGATGTTAAAATAAAATAAAATAAATATTGATTTATATCAATTAATATTTCGATTTTCTAAAAAAAAAAATGGAGAAATAGTATGATTTTGTGATCTTCGATACAAAAAGTATTATTTTTGCCCATTTCCATAAACAATTAACGTTTTAAAAAGACCTCCTAGGATAATGGAGACGGGAGCAGCCGAATCACGGAAAAAAAAATCCTTGATAATAAATCCCCAAACCAACCTTACTGTCAAAATTACATGTATAAAAAAAAAATTAATATAGTTTAATCATCAATGGTTTAAGTACATATTGTGCACACAACTGTCAAAAATAATAATAATAAAAAATTTAAAAAATATATAATATCGTATGTATAACCATTAAAACATATTTTATTTTTACCTTATGAGAATTTAGTTATGTCCATAGTTGCACAGTCACACATTTCGAAATTAGTCAATAGGAATTGAAGAAGTACTAACCGTAATACCTATGTAATAACTATTTCACATTATTTCACTATTTATATTTCACATTTGCTAAGAAAACTCCGGAGAAAAACGATAAACGACCTCTCTAAAGTACCTCCCTAGTGAGTTTTCCTTTTAAAAGCATTGCTATGATTATAAGTTAAAGCAAATTGCTGATTGAAAAGTTGTGCACAGGAAAAAAATTACGTAATATTCTAGAATATGTTTTGTACACTTTCCGGTTTTTCTTCAGTTTTTCGATTTTTCAAATTTAATGGAAAAACTTTTGAGAAAATCGAAACCTCCCTAAAGGACTTCCCGACACCGATTTCTTTTCAGAAAAGATACTACACTTTTAATCTGAGCAAGTTTTCTGGTATACGAGGTGTGGCTATTTAAAAACGGGAATTTTGTTATAAAAATAATTTATTTGTAAAATTATAATTATTAAATGTGATCCCCTTCTATATACTTCCCACCCATTACTATACACCGTTCCATACGTGTTCTCCATTATTCGAAGCAGTGTTGCAACTCTTCAGATGTCAAGCCCTTAAATTGGTTTGCCGCTTTAGTCTTCACCTCTTCCACGGATCGAAAATAAGTCCCCTTCAACGCAATTTTTATTTTTGGAAATAGATAAAAGTCGCAGGGTGCTAAATCTGGCGAATATGGAGGATGCTCGAGTACTGGAATGCGTTTATTGGCTGAAAACTGCTTAACAGAAAAAGCATTTTTGGTACCATTTTGGCACAGACTTTGTTCATGTTTAAATTGTTGTGTACAATTTGTCGAACTGTTTCTTTGTCTATATTTATCATATCTGCAATCATACGAATACTGAGACGACGATCATTCGGACAATTTTGTCAATTTTGTCGACGTTATCAGCACTTTTTGATGTGCAGGGGCGACCAGGATGCTCGTCGTCTTCCACTTCTTCTCGCCCATCTTTAAATCTTTTATGCCATTCAAAACCTCGAGTACGTGACATCGTGTCCTTCTCGTACACATTAGTCAACATCTTTAGACATTCTGTGGGTGATTTTTTTAATTTAACAAGAAGTTTTAAATTAACACGCTGTTCAATTTTTAAATTAGGCATTATTCCAGCAATTTCGTACGATATTATCCACTTTAAACAACGCGTGAATGCGAACTAATTGACCAAAAGAGATAAAACTGATATTTGATGCGTTGGCTTGTGCAAATAATAACTACGATATAATTACCCATCAGAGAGTTGATTGCACTCTAATCAGAAGGAAAACCTGTTTTTAAATAGCCACATCTCGTAAAAGTTGCGCAAAGATAAAAATAATAATAAACATCTTCGCTACACTCAAAAATCTAAAAATACGTTTTAATAAGTAAATTATTTATAAAATACTGGACACATTAAAATAAAAAAAACTCAAAACTGAGAGTTTCTCTAAATAAATTTCAAAAATCAAAAATATTCATAATTTTTCAAGGTGTTTGTCAAAATCTTGTGAAAAACGTATTTTGTTACTTTTTTATAAAAAAAGAGCTGATACTGGAAATGGATGCGGCCACTGTTGTAAGTGGGTAATGAGGAAGGTGGAAACACAAAGTTATTTAATATATACTTGTAATAAACAATAAACCATTGATAACAAAAAAAATTCGGAGCAAGATTCGGTTATATATGTTTTAAAAAGCCATAATATTTACAATTTTCGTTAAAAATTAAATTTTAAAACTCTTAAAAAAAAAAAAGAAAATACTACATTAAATTAATTTGTTTTTTTTTTTTACTACTAAATACGACTTATTATGAACCAGTTCCTATCAAACTTTCAAGCATTTCTGTTAAGTCTAACAATTTATCTACGGAGTACTTACCAAAAAAAATTACGTAAAAAACTTGTAAAATTAAAATGTTTATAAATAGTTCAAAAATTATTAAAATATTCTAAAAGATTTACCACGTCTAGAAAAAGTATATATATATAAGTTTCTTGTTAACATGTTAAATCTACAAATTCATGCAACCTGAATTACAACAAAAAACAAAATTGAAAATAATAAAAGCATTATTTTTATAAAAATTTCCCATTGTCTACGTATTTTTCGGATTTGCTCAATTATTAAAAAAACGACAAAGAAAATAAAAAAATTTAATAAAATATTTTGATAATTTAAAATGTTTAAGATTATATTTTTCTACCAGAAATCTTTGTCCAAATCCCAAGAAAATTGTGTCTAGTTTGTGAGTAAAAAAGTTTTTTGATTTTCTGTATAGTTTTTCTAATATTTACGAAAAATTGGGGGAAACGTAAGAAATACGGCAAAGTGTACAATATTTGGGTTTTTTAGTTAGAAATTATTGTATAAACCAGTTTTTTGACAAAATCTAACTTTTTGTAAACGTGGCAGAATTTTCAAAACATTTTAGCTATTTTAATGCTGTTTATAGGTATTTAATATTTTCATGTTTTTACATGTATTTTTATTTGGTAGGTTATTAAAATTATATGAATTTAGATAAATGCTTGAAAATTGAACACAAAGTACATTATATGTAATACACAGTTACCTAAAAAACAAATTTGAGTTTTATGCATTCGTTTTTTTTCATAAGTATTTTAAGATCAAATTTTGATAAAAATTGTAAAAATTATGAAATTTCAAAGTATGTTTTATCGAACTTCGGTCCAAATTGTTTTTTATTAAGAATGGTTTATCACTGCTTACAAATATAAATTAAATATTTTTATGTATTCTACCTTCTCAATTTCCCAACTACAATATAGTGACTGCACTCGTCCCCATTATCAGCTCTTTTTTTAGTATAGACAATTATAGGCTTTACGTATAATAGGTATACGAGACTTAGACGTCGTACGTCTATTTAAAGCATACGATATAAAATATGTATAGGTTAGTAAAGCATTATATTTATTAGGTTAACCGCGAATCAACCAATTGACCTTCGATCAGATAATATTATTGTTATAACGAAACTCCCCTCCGTATTATATTATTGTCAGCGGCAATCTGAAAATAAGTCGTTTCTAAATACTGTAGGTTACCCATATTATAATATTAAATATATGAATTAAAAAAACCTATATATTTCTCGGCCACACGCTTAGAAATAAAAACATTACGTGTCAGTCAAAAATTTAAAAATCTATAAACTCCTTAAAATAATAATTATATAACGATTTTACGATAAAAAATATAACTTTAAAAAAAAAGTTTAGATTTATGAAATATGTTTGAGATATCATTCGATAATTCATATTTTTTAATTGAAAAAAATTCAATCTATTATAGGTGTACAAAATACTAATAGGTTCACTACTCTGTCATCGAAAATGATAAAATGTAATTATTATTTACCTAGTTAATCATACAACATTATAATATATAAATATGTTACGTTGACTTCATACAAAGAAAATATGGACTTTTTATATAATATAGTAATCCAATAATCCAATTGAATTTATTTGAGGAGATAAGAAATCTTCTTCTTTGTCATCACATTTCTTCAAGAGTTTTTGCCGCCAGCGAAACCTTCCATTCTTCTCGATTTGAACTTTTTCTTGCCAATTTGGCAACCCTAATTCCTCTGAGTCCTGCTTTATTCCATCTATCCATCGTTTCTTAAAACTTACTTTAAAGAGGTAACTTTTTGATTTTCCTCAAAAGTTTTCCCAATAAATGGGAAAACCGAGAAAACCGTGGGAAAAACGGGAAAATAGGTACAATATTAAACAAATATTATTAAAGAAAATACATAATGCATAATAAATAATAAATTATTGTTTTTTGTTACCAATGGTTAACCGCTGCATACAGATATACATTAAATTCCCCTGTATAACCTTCCCAACTTCTCATATACAAAAGAGGTTCATCCAACGTGCGAAGTATGTCTGTCTATTTTTTTCATAATATTATGTAAGTCTTAATTATAATATTATTATAAAATACATTAATATCGAAAAACAATCTAACATATTATTGAAAAAACTCTAATCATACAGATATCAAATAAATTATAAAAAATATTATATGACGTGTTTACCTATTGGCTATTGCTCATAATAATATATTATCGTAAAACGCAATAACCAGATTGATTTGACCATACAGATCTATGGATGCAACCCAATATTTTACATACAGGTTAGCCAAAGTGCATGTTTGTGAATTACCACATTGTTGATTTTTTCCTCGAGAATAGAAAATATACGATTATCGTAATATTATTTTACTTGTATTGTAGGTACCTACTTTTATGTATTTTTTTTAAGGCTATAATTGATAAGAAGTAAAACATAACAATCTTATTCAAAATAAACGTTGGTATTTGTTATTTTATATTATTGTTTATTATAATATATTATGTAAATATACTGAATATGCACATGACCGATGGCGTTTTTTCACTAGAAATCGTCTATCTATATAATTTGTTGGAATTTAGGTAGGTATCTAATAGATTTTTCGAGAGAACTAAAAATAGTTTCTTTAAGTAGTAATTTTCTTTTTTAAATAATAATATAATATACAACATATATTTAACGTTTTTCAGGACAATTCCGATCCGATGAAGATTATTCGAAAACGGCCAGACGAAAGTATTACGTACACATGGACCAACATAAACGTGTACACGAAAAACGGCAAAAGCCGAAACTTTTACGAAACGTTGACATCTTGTTGTGTGAATGCCGTTCCAAAAAAGTTGCAAAAGAAACAATTACTGAAAAATGGTGAGTTTAGCTTCTATGGGCACCAGATTTATAATATATGTTGCTCATCTCCGTATTAGTTATGGACTCTACTAGAATACAACTTTTGGGATTACTAGAATCTTATATTCTTATATACACAATGAAGCCGTGAGGTTATTGTCCCTACACTTTTAACACATTATTCGAAAATACCTGATGCTGCAAACAGATGTGCCACTATTGTAGGTGAGAAGTTGGGAAGGTAGGATGCATAAAATTATTTTATGTATATATGTACGCAACGATAAATTATTGCTGACGAAATACGGTTCTGAGCATAGGCGTCCTAGACGTCCTAGGCGTCCTATTTGCACCTAGTAAAAAAAATAATATTAACTGATAATTTTAATAAATTAAAATTTAAACTTTCATTAAACACATATTTTAAAAAATTGTTTTAATTTGAAACCCCGTTTTAAATTTCACCTTTAGAGGCGTCCATGATACTGAGCGAGTTTGATAAAAAAAGGTTGTAATTTTTAAATTTTCGTCAACAATTTAACTTAAAACGTTTTTAAAAATCTACTATATTACGCTCAATATATTTTTATCATACAATATAACTTATGATATGTGGCCTGTTGGTGGTTTTAGGTGCTGTAGGTGACTCAATACCTAAAAGTTCTTTAGAATCTGTCACAATTTTTAAAATTACGTATGCCTATCAAGATAAGATAAGAGTACGCGATTTTCTGGTTATTTTATTATTTTATATATAATAGTTATAATTTATTATATATATATATATATAAATTATATATTACAATATAATATTAGATACCAATCTAGATAATTGTACATACCAAACGCATTTTTGTAAAATTGTATCACAAAAATTTATCTTCACTCTACAAAATAATTCAGTAATATATATATTTGTCTAATGTAATCCTAACTAATAAGTCTTTTTTCTTGTTTTTAATACCTGCATAATAAATCGAAAACTATAAATATATCATTATTATTATTACAGTGAGCGGTTCGGCGCGACCGGGCGAACTTTTGGCTTTGATGGGGTCTAGTGGTGCTGGAAAAACAACCTTGTTGAATTCGTTAACTTTTAGAAGCGACCGTAACGTGACCGACACCGGAATCCGGGCCATCAACGGCGTACCAATCAACGGCAAAATGTTGACTGCCGTGTCCGCGTACGTACAACAACACGACCTGTTCATTGGGACTCTAACAGTCCGGGAACATTTGGTTTTTCAGGTGAGAATCGTTTAACTTTTTAAAAAAAAAAAAAACACTCTATGATGGTATCAGTGTTGTATAATGCTTCAAAATCAAAAAGCGGGTTAAAACTAAAATATGTAATCTGATTTTAATCATCGATTAGTTGGTGAATTTCGCTCACAGCGTATAATGAAATAATTTTTATGAATTGAGTCCAAAAAGATAAAATTATACTTATCTATTAATTTTGTACTAAAACGTTTCTAAACTTGATCGCAAAACGAGCAAAATATTCAAGTACCTAATTCAGAATCGACTGAAAAACAACTTTTCGATTATCTACAGCATTGGTGACCAATTACGGTCCACGAGGCCAATCCAACCCATGATCATTATTAATCAGCCAACCAAAGTATTGAATCAAAATTGAAAAAAGAATATAACTTCAAATTTCAAAAATTAACATTAACATTAAAAAAGGACATGTTTATACTTTAAATTTTTTTTCTTATTTATAACAATCAATATATAATAAATAATTAAATATATCACTGTACCCATATTAAAATGTACCTACAGTAAATTATAATATTCTATTAACTTTAAAGTAAATGTTTTAATTCTTGGCTCACCAAGAATTATTATTATTTTTTTGTTATGTCCCTCTGTAAAAAAGGGTTGGTCATCTACACTGATCTACAGCAACGATTCCCAACGTGTGATCCACGGCACCCTGGGGCACCTCGATTAGGTGTAGGGGCACGGTGTAACCATTTTGAATATTTACTGGTTTAAAAATAAATTTAAAACTCAAATCACAAATCGATTTTATTTACCTTGGTTACCTTTGGCTACACAATGAGATAAACACCGCTTTACAAAAAGTCGTCTGATCAGAATAAGTTTTTGATTGTAATAAAACGACAAATATTTACGGCGTGCAGCAACGTTACCGATTTCATTGTTTTTAATTTTTGCCAACTATGTTTTCTACTAGGAATATTGCTTTATTCAAAAATTACCAAGTAAACTTTTTTGTACCATTTCGGATCTAATTTTTCACGATGCAGGTAGTTTTTTATGCTTCCTGTATTTTTTTTTTAGTAACTGAGAATAAAACAAATAAAAATTGTAAAGAGAACTAACGAATTAATGAAAATTATGCTTTTATTAGTTTCAATTTTGTTTTTTTGTTGTGATTCATTTTAAAATATTGACAGAAAAATTAAATTTGCCTTTTCTATACATAGTAAAATTATTTAAATATTTTCTCGATTTTTGAGATATTTATAAGCATTTTATATTTGTAAGTTTTTTACGTAATTTATATTTGGTAAGTACTCTGTGGATAATATTTTTTGACTAAACAGAAATGTTTGAAAATTTAACAGGAAAGAGATTCATTATAAGTTGTAATTAATAGTAAAAAAAAAGTTAAGTGTAATGTAGTATTTTTTTTTTTTTATATATATATATAAGAATTTTAGTATCGGATTTTAACGAAAATCGTTAATATTACGGCATTTTAAACATGTTTAACAGAACTCTACTCAGAATCGTTTTTCGTTACCAATAGTTTATCGTTATTCAGAGATTGTTAAATAACTATGTATTTTAACTTCCTAAGGTACAACTTACAATACACCTGTCCTCAAGATCGGTTCTTTTTTTTTTAAATGGATGTCTACAACTCAACTTTGATAATAATATAATATTGTAAAAATATCATTAATCTGTTGATATCTTGTTGATACAGATTGAAACAAAAACCATTTATATTATTTATATCATTAAATCTCTAGGTATGTAAAAGAATGATGTTATTAATATTTATGTTGTCGCTTTTAAAGTGTTATTCTGGAAATATAAATATACTTAATAGTTTATTTTGTATGACTAATTTTAATATTTATTGCATAATATGAATGTAACACTAATTTTAGGTTAGTTTTTGAAATTCTCAAACAATAATAGGCACGAACTTTGCTTTTGTTTATGGATAACTCTGATCTATTGCTATGGTGGGATCTGTTAGCAGTGTTTGTGATACCATACCTTTCCAACTTTTTACCTACAACTGTTACCATATTATTTTAGAGGGGAATGTATATATTTATAAAAAAGTGTATGCAGGGTTAAGGTGGTGAGGAGTTTATAGGTATGAGGAGATTAGAGGGTGTGAGAAGTTTAAGGTTAAGTTAGATAAAGGTTGAATTAGGGGGTTATAAGTAAGGGGATGAGGGTACTAAGTAGATGAAGGGTTAGGAATAACATAAACAGGGAACGTATTGTTAGTTCAGAAATCAGCAATAATATACATACTTGCTTAATTATTTACTAATACTTAATTATCAAATAACTACTTATCTAACTATTTTCGTTACAAAGCTATAGACGGACAAAGCCGGGTAATACAGCTAATATTATTATTAGGTATAAAATGATAGAATTAAAAAAATTCTAGAACCGGTATTCTACTTAACATGTATATAAATACACGTTTCGTGTTGGTGATCCGCGCGCATGACCTTGTTCATCTCGTATAGGTGTAATACGCTATTGGACTCTTACGTAATCGTAAAACTTCCGTTTTGCCACATTATTATATTGGTTACCGTATAGTATAATAATGAACTTAAAAATCATCAATTATATCATATCACACTATGTCAGATAAAGAAATGTTCTATACGTTTGTCATCCACCGTGGAAAAAATGATGAGATGCATTTACGAGTAGGACGTGCCCTAAATTATATAATATATACCTACACGTAGTCGTTTTTCTTAAGTACACTAATATCATTGTCATTGCGTTAATTTTTGGGGATTATAATTTTGAACACGTGATTTTCGACTATTCAAATTTTGTATTTGCAATAATTTTATATATTTACTAATTCCAAATAAGACAAACAATGATATGAATTTAAAAATCAAGTGGTTGTTTTTCAAAGCTAATAGCCAAGTAAGCAATATCGGAATTTTCTCTATTCGTAACTATAGTAAATAGTAATTGAATTTCAAAAAGTACGAGTAATATTAACGATCAACACTTGTATAATACCGAGATTTAATGTGTCAGTGACCGCAGTTAACCTGTACGTCGTCGTTTCCACGCCGGTTTCTTGTTCTTTTTAAATTAACGTAAACCAGTGTTATTATGTATATATACTTATTTAAATACATTTTATAACTTTTTTTTCTGCCTAGTATATTATATGATTTAAACGCATTTATCCGAATATTTAAAATGTATTTTCTACATCTAAAAGATTATATAAGATTATATAAATTACCTATAATACCTATGCCAAATATTTTAGAACTTCAAACCTACATGTAGCTATGGCCTATTATTATTAATAGCTAAACAATATTACTAACGACAAATAATAATATAGGTATATCTAATAAATAATACAGTAAAATGTTTCAAATTAAATTTATTATATGATTAAATATTAAACAAATATGTTTTTATTTAGACAGATAAGATATGGCTAAGAGTCAAAAGTCAATTTTTGAAAATGTTACGCCACTTATAGTGATTAATACTTTTGGAAAAATATTAATGTATATTTTACTAAATACCTAAATATCTAAAAAATTTAATCGGAATTTTATAAACCTATATTTAATATTATACTCGTAATCATATATCATATTATTTAAATACAACTATTATTTGTTATATTGTACTTAATTTATAAATGCAAAAAATATACAAAAATAAATAATTGTATTTACCTTAATATTTTTCTTTTTCATTTTGAAATTTAATTATACTATGTAATAATAATAGTCTCAAATAAGCAATATAAATATTGTTATTGAAATTTATTTTTTTTTTTTAACTCTTATAACTGCAGGCATTGGTGCGAATGGACCGTCACATACCGTATGAAAAACGAATGGCTCGAGTCGAAGAAGTCATACAAGAGGTCAGTATCATAAAAAACATTGGTGTGTACAATTACACATTCAATAATAATTTTATTGTATTTTTACTCTATCTGCAGCTATCGTTGACAAAATGTAAAAACACAATAATAGGTGTGACCGGAAGAATAAAGGGTTTATCAGGCGGTGAAATGAAACGTTTGTCGTTTGCTTCCGAGGTAAGAAACAATCGTATAAGACAAAAAATAATATTTTCAATTAACATTACTACGATGCACAATATCATAACAACTGGCAGTATTTTTCGCATGAACAATAAGAAAACTACAACACGTCAACACAACGATGTGATATTATTATTTTATAACATTTTAACATTGTATTCAAAAATCAACTACCTATACCAATACACTTTAAACTGTTTATAAACGACGAGTATAACAAAAATATAAACATTATAATATTCTATAGACGCAGGCGAGGATTTCGATTTTATTTAAAAAAATGTTGGACACCTCATACTCGTCTATTAAATGGATAGATACACTAAATCAGTAGCGTCCCAAAACCCATTTATAAGGGGGGGGGGACGAAATTCATACATTATATGTGTATATATAAATATATAAACAAACTAATTACTAGGTAGTTTACCAGGTTTCACTTGGGGTGTATAATATCATATATGGCATATTATATAGATTCGAAAAACAGTGTAATAATTAAAATCAAAATGTTTAAAATTGCACGTATTTAAGTATAAATTAATAATAGAAGTAATTTTGTAATAAATTGAGAAAACACAATTTATAAATTATAAGTACTTATTTACATCTCATTTAGAGTTTTATAAAAAAAATAGTTGAACCTGAATATTTGATTAAAGAATGAAATCGACTTTGTGTTTTAATTAATCAATTAATTATATTATGTTATTTGTATGTAATAGAATATTATTATGAATATGCATAAGCACCAAACCGATCAATCGTGCTTTCCCTATTTGATTTCTCAGCCAAGTTTTTAATCTAATAAGCATAAAAAAACAAGGAAATAATTATAAAGCAAAAACAAAAATATGATAAAAAGCTTAAAAAATATAAATATAAATGGTCAAATATTCATTTAACACATAAAATTCATTATTTATAAAAGTATTAACTTTCTTTTGGGAAATTAGTTCAAATATACAAGAAATTTGATAGGATATTATAGATTTCTGGTATTAAAATTATGGGTTTTCATTTAAAAATCAAAAGTTGATACTCATATAGGGTAAAACAAGATATTAAAAATATCATACCACTAAAAAGTTCAACATTTTAATAGTTAAACTAATTTCCCAAAAGAAAATTCCAAAAAAGTGAATTATATTCAAATGAATGTTGTGTTGTATCAGTCTGTCTGTACCTATATAGGTATGTGTAGCTCATAATGGATATGTTTCTGTGTTTTAAGTTTAATAAATCTAGTTATTATAATATTTAATACTCAGTGGGCATTATACATTTTCTAATTATTTTACATAATAAGTAAAACTTCTGTTTAGTTCAATAAATAACACATTTTTAAACTATTTTATTAAACTACAACTTTTAATACAACATTTAAGTAATTTAACAAACTATTTATTAAGCCCAAGGGAATCACTGATCGCGAAATACAAGAAATAAATATAAAATAAAATACGATAATAGTGCCTACGTACTTAGAGTGATTACTGATCATCCAATTATTATAACTAGTATAATGTTAGAAAAACGTTATATTATTATTTGTATTTTTTCATAAAAATTGTCTATATAAAATCCCTTAAAAATTGTTCTCCATGTAGAGGCTGACAAATTTGTGATAGAATACAGTTTTTATAATATCAATCTAATATAGGTGTTGACAGACCCTCCGTTGATGTTCTGTGATGAGCCCACGTCGGGACTAGACTCGTTTATGGCTCAAAATGTAGTTAGCGTACTTAAGTCGATGGCGTCTAAGGGCAAAACGATAATTTGTACCATTCACCAGCCGTCTTCAGAAGTATACTCTATGTTCGACAAGATATTGTTGGTGGCCAGCGGCCGAACGGCCTTTCTTGGTACACCAAACGAAGCCATCGAGTTTTTCAAAACGTAATAGTAATATAAACAGTTGAGGTAATAACAATATTTATTTTTGTTCGGTTTTTCGTAGGCTCGGCGTCAGTTGCCCGAAGAATCACAATCCAGCGGATTTTTTCATCCAACTACTCGCCATCGTACCGTCTCAAGAGCGGTGCTCGTACGACACCATCGACACGGTTTGCGAGGCGTACGAAAGTTCGCAATACAAGCGCGACATGATAGAATATCAAAAACGGTTGTCTTCGAATGGCAGGGTAAGATTCTATAAATTATGACTTCGGGGGGGAGGGGAGCAAAATAATATAGCCCTTTCTCGACTTAAAAGTCAGCACTTGATAACACAAAATAAATAAAAAATTGGACATATTTTTGTGAAATATAATCTTCTCATAATTCTTCTCATTTACCTTCATCCCAACTGTTTAGGATCGGCCATTCTAGTCTTATACTTCCACATGAGCCGATCTTATATCACTCATCAACCGGCTGTCCTCATACCATTCTTAGTCGCATCTAACTACTTTTTTTCGATCTTCCTCTCTCCTTCTTTCCTCCTGCGTCTATTTTCATTACAATTCTTACTGCTTCTGATTCCTCTCTCCTTATGGCTGCCCAAACTTTTTCATTCTATTTTCTCTAATTTTGTCCACTATCTAAGCTATACCTAAGTTACCTCTTGTCTACTCATTTATTATACTATCTGCTCTTATAACTCCACTTATTTACCTAAGCATTTTTATCTCTGCTACACTTATTATCTCTTCTATTTTATTATCGACCGCTCTATACTCCAAACCATACAACATAGTCGGTCTCACCACGGTTTTGTAGAACTTACCTTATAAGTCTTATTGGGATTCTCTTATTACATGAAATGGCAGACGTTAGACTTACCCAACCACACTTAAACTTATATTTCACATCCTTGTCAAAGTTACCGATCTTTCGTACAAAATATCCTAGGTACTTAAATACTATCATGTATTACTTATTGTTGTTAACTGTCTTGTCCTATTGTTACAAACTCATACTCTTAATACTTTGTTTTACAACTACTTATTCTTAGTATCTTTTATACAAGTGCTACTCTCCATTCCACAAGCCTATTACTAACTTCTTTCGAATTTTCTCCTATCAAAGCTATATCATCTGCAAACATCATGCACCATCTTCTCATTTGCTGTTCTCGCTTACACCCGAGATAGGAAAACCTACTCAAGTCTTGTTTAGAACTCCTCATACTGTTTGACAGAATTTTACACCAGCTATCAACCTGATGCAATTCCATTTGTCGCTTCTTACAATAAATAGTGGTCCTGTGGGAGTGTTCTCCTTCAAGGAGAATGATATTTTCAACTATAAGGTGAATTCCTCTACCTTACAGAAACAATATCATATAAATACTGGAATCACCCACCTGGAAATTCCACCAGTTAGAGCTCGGGACCCCGGATTTACTAAACCCGTAGCATTATATTCCCCTCGTGTGGTTAAATACCTGTATATATAATACTAGCTGAATTACCTGGCGTTACAGTTAGCATTCAGTTATGAATCAGTCAAGACTTCTTCTTTTAACCTTACCTAACCTAACCTTACATATACAGATATATATTATTATTATTTGTGACAACCAAATTATCAACTATGTCATCAAGGTAACCTTTAAATCAACAAATAAAATTGAATTAATGTTCCAAAATTACCAAAAATCCAACTGCCGGCTAGGTGTGCCATCCGACGTTTTCCGGACCAATTTTTTTGTTATTTCATCTGTTTCACCAATGATCATCGTCTCGTGATTAAACTAAAATAAATAAATAAAAATTAGATATCCGTACAAAAAATACCTTAAAATTCTTAATTTACCACCTTAGGGGTTAAATTTTCAAAAACCCTTTCTTAGTGGATGCCTGCATCATAGTAATAGTTATCTGTATTCCGAATTTCCGCCCAACCCATCTAGTGCAGTGGTTTGTGTTCGACGAAGATGAATCATTCAATCAGGACATGTTATTTATAAATAAATAAATATATATATATATATATAGAGAGAGAGATGTATATTATATGTAGACAGTAAGAATCACAATGCCAATTATGATGAAATAATCTTAAGAATTACTTTATAGTTTATAAAGAATACAATAATTTTTAAAATGTTATATTGTAAACACGTTGAACAAAAAAAAAAAAAAAAAAAACAATTTAATACCAATTCATTTTTTGTAACTCAATAAGTTTTTTTTCTTTGCAGGATTCGTTGGATAAAAGTAATTGGGACTCAGATGGTTTACAAAACGTTTCGTCACCGTACAAGGCCTCATGGACTGAACAGTTTTCCGCCGTGTTTTGGCGGTCGTGGCTAAGTATAAAAAAAGAACCGGCTCTCACCAAAATCAGGCTCATCCAAACTATTGTAATAATGATATGTGGAAAGGATCTCGACTTTATCTAATCCCCGATGCGTTATTTTTTAGATGGTTGCCGCTCTGATAAGTTTCATATTTTACAACCAGCACTTGGACCAGGACGGTGTAATGAACATCAACGGGGCGCTGTTCATGTGCATATCTAACATGACGTTCCAAAACGTACTGGCAGTCATAAACGTGAGTACCATTAAATACTATGGCTAGAAAACAAGATGTGTGATTGTGTCAAGTGATTAAATGGATGAGGAAGAAGTGGTTATGAGGGCACATGAAGTTTAACAAAGATATGATGATGGAGATATAGAGATAAGGTAGCTGATCTCAAACTTAAGTGGGATAAAGACGAATTCACTGACTTTAGTTTTTGTTTGAATGGATTGTGTAAAATCATTTTCCTATTATATTTCCATGGTATAACAAGAATTTCAAAACATTTTTTTTTTTCTTGGCTTGCGGGTGTTTCCTTCAAAATACGCTCCCGAGTATACAAACCTGTGTTTTTACCTCTGCAGGTATTCTGTTCCGAACTACCAGTGTTCATGCGTGAACACCACAATGGCATGTACCGAACGGACGTGTACTTCCTAAGTAAGACATTCGCCGAGATACCTATATTCTTGGTGATACCAGTACTGTTTACATCCATCATGTACTATATAGTGGGTCTAAATCCAAAGTTCGTTCATTTTCTCACAGCCGTCTTATTCATAACGCTCGTCAGTTTGGTAGCCGTTTCGTTTGGTAAGTGTATAATTTCGGCCCAAACCTAACCTAACCTTGTAGGTACTGGTCAACGTTAGATTGCAAAAATACCCGAGCACAAAATAAAATAAAACTGCGTATACATACGCTTAAATCTATTGTAGTTTTATAATTCTTATTATGATGTACGTTTACAGGTTATTTCGTGTCGTGCGCAAGCGGTAACATATCAGTAGCGCTTTCTGTAGGACCCACGATCGTCATACCTTTCCTGTTGTTCGGAGGTTACTTTCTGAATGTCGGGTGAGTACCTATGTAGTATATAATGCACATAGTCAATCGATTGACTCTTATACCTATCGTGATATCCTCTACATAGTCAATTTACTGTATCACGTACACCCTAAGTCCCGACCTATAGAATATTGTATAGTCGAATAAATAATATAACCTATTAATTTGGGTTCAAGATCGATTCCGTCCTACTTCCGATGGTTGAGTGTATTTTCGTGGTTCAAGTACGCCAACGAGGGACTTCAGATTAACCAGTGGGCGGACATCGACAAAATCCAGTGCAACAGAGTTAACACCACATGTCCGAGTTCCGGATACGCTGTCTTGGAATCAAATAATTTTGTAGAGGTAAAGGAAACAAAAATACCAGTTACACTTTTACTTCTTTTCTTTCTTATTTTTTTACGGGGAAATTTTTTATTTAAGAAATTATTTATGCATTTCCAACCATTAAAAGGCATTCCAAAGGAAACGACGTCAATTAAATGAAACTAATAAAGTCGTGATAATCGTTGGTCAAGATGAGTGGTGGCACTGTTAATGGTTATTAAATGGTAACAGTCACTGTTGAGATTTTCAATAGTCACATGGTTTTTTTTAACTATAATGTATTTACCTAAGTAATACATCTTGACTTGACATTTATTTTGATTCTTCCATTCCTTGATACATTGAATTACCTATTATAAAACACGCGAATAGTCTTAATTCGTCTGTTCATGGAATTAACGGCCACCGATCGGTCCGTTATTTGCATTTTCTATTTTCATGGAAAACCTTCGTAATTGTCCCCGCGACGACGACGGTCCTTCTGTACTTACATAGCATTTATATTTTAATTATTTTTAAATGCTATTGAAGTTGATTCAATAAACAGGTTATAAAATATAAATTAACGTTTTATCAGTTTGTTTTTTTTTTTTGTTTTTAGTCAAACCTCACCATGGACATAATTTCGTTGTTCCTGTTGATCGTCGTATTCCGATTCTTGGCGTATCTATCTCTGCTAATCAGAGCATCCAGAAAGTAACTGACCAACCTGATCGATATACATATAATAATAATATATGATAATATTATACTCGCACACACATCACACACATACACACATTTAATATGTAATATAGTACACATGAAAATGATATAAGCAGTTTACACGGATTTCACGAAATATTCGTAAAAGCCTAAACCGTATTTTTTAAAGATTATTTAAACGGACGCAGCTATTCGTGTATCTCGATCGAGAAAAATGTACTATTATACATTATTATTATACGCACTTTTTATATACGTGCATTAAGATCGTCTCGTTTTGTACATATAAGTAATATTATACGTTATTATTTAAGATTCCCCAAACAAATAGGTATGGTAATAATAATTCACATTTAAACTAAATTCTCAATAAAAGGAAAACACTATATTATATTATCCTTATGTAATATAGTATTTTACGAACTCCTTGCCATCATAATATTATCATTTATTATCGTCAAACAGCAAAATACGAGTCCATTAAATATATTTATGAAATTTATTTTTAATATTAATTATAAGTAAAAATGATTCCATATGGACCAGATGCGTCCCTTCTCCCTCCCCCCGGATGTAAAATTCTCACGGGGAAATAATAAACATTATAACACCTATAACCTACTCTCAGTTTTACATTTTTATTAATTTTTGTATATATTACCTATTATATAGGTATAATCAGTCCACGTAACACGACACGTCAATATTTAATTTTAATTTTATAAGTAAACATACATATAAATATTTTTTTTAGGCATTGTTGTTCGTTTGATGATTTTTATTTTGTTTGTTCTCATATACCTTATACCTAAATTAAAATATTTGTAATAAAATTATAATACACGTGTTAAGCATTTATATACATGAACGATTCTATTATTTGTAGTGTTTATATTATATAGGTATACTATACTATACAATTACTGTTGTTAAATTATTATTATATTGTAACAAGCGTGCGATTTCGTAAATTTATTATAAATCATTGTAAAGTACCATTGTAACATAACCTCATTAATTTTATACATAATTGTATTATTACATGTTGTAATGTTGTATTCTATAACCTATTAACACACACAGTCAGTGCCGGTTTGGGTGTTTTAGCCAACCGTGCTCAACATCCAACATGATTTATAAGGTGAAGTGCTTGGGGTACACTATCTCTTACACACAATTTTCGGAACGTGTGGGTTAACTGTTTTTTACCTAAAAACATATCATATAATTTGTAAGATTTAACCCCTGATCAAAAAAAACAAGTGTAAGTATATCACTAAAACTAATTCACAAACGATCTCATCTAAATATCGTGAGAAAAGCAACATGAGTCCGATGACCAATAAATAATAGAATAAAAAATTGTCTACTATTTTCACTTTTTATTTGTATAACATCTATTTGATATGGCATTATTTTTTACCAGTAGAACATCTTTCCTTCGCCTTCATTCTAAATATTTGGGATTAGTCATCCTCAATCTTTTTTTTAAACTTTTCTTTTGGAAATCAATAATTTGTTTTTAAATAGTAATATTTAAATACAGTAATACTAATATTATTATTATTTATTTAGACGGGTAGTAGCTAGTAGCCCAATAATTACAGTGTAATTGGCCCGGTGCAGCTTATGCTCACAAATTTGTATTTTGTATTTATATTAATAACACGTTTTTCTATATATTTTTGACAAAACAATTTGTTCCAGTCATCAACTTTAGTGATGGTTTCTGACAACAAAATTTTGTTTAGTTGGTGCATTGAGAAGGTAATTTTTCCTTGTGTTTATTCGACAACAGAGAAAAACATCGGACAAACAGAATATTACAGCTATTATTTATTGATTTTATATTTTTGTTGTAATTCAGAGAAAAATAATTATTTAATTATCAGTATAAGTACTTAAAAAAACATAAAAATCTTGATAATGAAAAATTTAATAAAATTGTAAAAAGTGCAATTATACAGGCTATCCCACGAAGATATACCTCTTAAATATCTCCAGAGATAATAAAGATTACCAAATTCTGTTTTTTTTTTTTTTTTTATTTTACTCACAGGAATGAAGACTACAAATATTTAGATTTTAATTTTTTTTTTTTATTATTAAAAAAATTGAAAAAATAATTTTTATTTTATTTTCGAAAATTTTTAAAATAGCCATTCTGTTAAGATTATTTTTTCTGAAAATTTTAACGAATTGCACATTTATATCCGATTAATAGTTTTTAAGTAACAGCCGTTTTAAATTCTACTAATCTGTGTGAAAACTGATATTATCTAGGGAATAACCCAACCGCGTTACGCGATAACATCGGTTTTCACATGGGTTAGTAGAATTTAAAAGGGCTGTTACTTAGAAACTATTCATCGAATATAAATGTGTGATACATTCAAATTTTCAAAAAAATAAATTCTAATCCTTAAGAGTAATATAAAAAAAAAAACAGAATTTGATTATCTTTATTATCTCTGAAGATATTTAAGGGGTATATCTTCGTGGGACAGCCTGTATACGACGTGCTGTACGCAGTATTACCGATTTCATTGTTTTTCATTTTTGCAAAACTAGAAATATTTCAATATTATTAAATAATATTTATTTAAAAAGTGACAAGTGAACTTATTGTTGCATTTTTAATCTAATTCCTTACGATGTAAGTAGTTTTTTAATTTTCCAAGCAATTTTACGAAAATAATTTAAAAATAACTTTATCATTTTCAACTTGGTCTTTTATTGTAATTCAATTAAAATGTTCGTATAGAGAAATTTGAACAGAAAACTTAAATTTACCTTTTCTAGACATACTAAAATTTTTAAAATAATTCAGCCATTTTTGAACTATTTATGAACATTTTTAATGTAATTTTCATTCAGCAGGTAGGTACTCAGTGAATAAAATTATTAAACTAAATAGAAATGATTGAATAATTAACAGGAGGTTCATTATAAGTTGTACTCAGTGGTTAACAAGAAGTTGAGTTTAATTTAGTATTTTTTCAAATGTTGACAAAAATCATAAATATTATGGTCTTTTAAAACATGTATGATTGAACTCCACTAAGAATTATTTTTCAGTAGCAATAATTAATCGTTGCATAGAGATATACGTTTAATTCCCCCCAATATTCTACCTTCCCAACTTCTCACCTACAACAGTGTTACACTCATCGTGCACAGTAATATGTTCATCTTTTTTATAATAGTTTTTAAACAACTTTGTAATTGAAAGGATTTAGAATATAGATAGAGATAGAATTATGGAGTATGTGAAACCTGCCTTAAGAGACACACCTGAACAACATTTGGTTCAATGGTTCAATTTTTCACAATTCATTTAGAAATGAAAGATGTAAATAATGATAACTTTAGAGGACGCTATACCCACATCTACTGTCTCAGTTCAACTACTAGGTAATATACAAAAACAATGCTTACGTAGAATAAGTAAAACTAGCTTAATTTTAATTTTAGAGTAAAAGTACCTATTATGAAATGTATAGAGAACAATATTTTGGAGGGAATGTCATAAGGTTTTTATTCTATTCAAAATATACAGCTCAATATAAAAAATACAAAAACCATTATTTTTTTTACTTTTTTAATAGTTTATAGTTCAAAAAACACCAATGACATTCTCTCCAAAATATTGTTCTCTATAAATTTCATAATTGGTACTTTTACTCTAAAATCAAAACTAAGCTAGTTTTACTTATTATGCGTAAGCAAGGATTTTGTATGTTATCCAGTAACTACCGGGTAACAATTGGACTGAGACAGTAGATGCAGATATTACGGCCTCTTAAAGAAAATTAATTTAGAATTCACTGTAAGTATAAAAAAATAGTTTTCATATATACTCAGTCTTACGAGAGAAAGTACATACTCTGTGCATCAGCAAGAGTACGGAGGCCAAATTTCTCCCACTCCTTATCGTGTAATATTGCGATGGACAAAAAAAACGTGTACCTTTTCTTAAGAGACGGAGTATAGTACATTTTAATAGTATTCAACCAACTGGTAAATAAAGCCTTTGTATGTAAGAATGTGTGAAGAATAGTATTTCAAATTATTGATAATCATATTATTACTTAATTAATTTAGAAATTAAAATCATTAGGTAACAAAAATAATAATTTTTTTAAAAGATTCAAAACTCAATAAATCTTGATTAAATTTTATTATATTATTCTTTTGCTTTTAAAAATTTAAAATGGTCACACAAACTACGAGATCCTTAATATAAAATTAATTAATATTTATTAATTGTTCATTAAAAAAATGTCACAATGATAAAAATAATTAAATGGATACAAATTACAAACACACTAAATTTTAATTGATCATAACTTATACTTAAATATAATATATTAATTTTTTTTTTTTTCTAATTTATAAATAATTTTATTCGAGAATCTATTTTTGGCTACGTGAATTAAAATGCTAAAGCAAAATTGAAAATAAAACGCATACGATAATGAAAATATACCTAGTAATGATATACATTTGAATATTCAGAAGTAGTAAATTGAATGCAAACATTAGGATATTTGAGTCGCCATTCTTGTACAGTCATTTCTTTGATGTTTTCACAAAAGTTGACGTCTATTAGCTTTAGGTTATTGCACTTCTGTAGGAATTTGGAACAAGCTTCAACTGTAATTGCTCTCAGGCCAACCAAATCAATTTGTTCCAACAGTGGACAGTAGTCAGCAAATGCAAGTAGATCACGATCGCTTACACCACGTAATGATACAATTATAATCTTTTTTAATCTAGGACAAGATTTTACCAAATTTATAAGACTAGTGCCAGGAATACTCAAAGCCAAACTGAAAACATGAATACATTTTTGATTAATTAATGTGTTCTTACTCAATATATATTACTATAGATTCATTGAATCTTAATTATACTATGATAGTCAATTTTTGCATAACACAAGAATACATAGATAAATAGTATACAACAAATTAACTAACAATCTTAGAATAATAAAATTGGAGTCAACCTTTCCCTAATATCAATCAATATAATATACCAACCACCATCCGAGATCAATTTCTTCGAGATTCTTATGAACCATTAAATACCGTAGTCCGAGAGGCGACAATGAATAACTTTTCCAAAAATCTACAGACACTAGCTCCTTGTTCCATATTGACAACACCAAAGCAATATTGTCCATGGATTCAATTCTTTTACACGAACCTTAACAAATAATTAAACAATTATATTAACATCATTTACTTCATAATCAAACAAAAATAACTACCCAAATTAATATGTTTCAATTTGGGCATACTGCACAGATAACATTTTAAACACTCTTGAGTAATATTTGTTCTATAGAAATCTATACGTTCCATTTTGGAAAAACTCTGCGGAGATTTTATCAATCCGAAATCAATTGAAGTGCAACTTCTCAAACTTAACTCTGAAAATTTAAATTTCCATAGCTATTAATTATGTATTGTGGTATTGTATTGTTGACAAGTGAAATAATTTAACCTTTGAGATATTTGCAAAACAAATTTATTGCAATTAACGAACTATCATTGACAAATTTACAATTGTCCAGTCGTAAGTGAGTTAAATGGGTACCGCATTTATTTATAAATCTAAAAATGTTTTATCAAAAATTAAAAACAAATAGTAACTATTGTGAGTATTACATGTTTAACACAAATAGCATACACATTGAATGTTGTACTTAATATTCCTCTTGTTATACCACACCAGGATAAATCCAACTTTGCTAATCGGGAACATTGAGGCTCTACTGACATAAGCATTTCATAGGAAAATGTAGACCAATAAGGCTACAAAAGAGAAAAAATAAATTATAAGTACATACATTATGAATATTGCTGTACTTACTTTGAAATTTAGTTCTCTATAAAAAGATCCGTCTTTGCAAATGGCATTGAAGCGTTTGCTAACACTTAAACACCGACGCAATGATTTTAAATCCAAATATGAAAATATATGCATTAATGTTTCATCCTATATTATTGATGTGAGTAATACAAATTTTAAGATTCATTTATTAACACGACTAAAATAAAAAAAAAATACATACAGGTAATTTTAAAGTATGATCTATGTCAGGTACACTTTTGCGCCACTCATTTTCAAGTTCTTCTATGTTTTTAATAAGGTCTATAAACGGATCCAAACTTGTCGACATTGGTAACTACAAACAATACATATATTGTTATACATAAATAATCTAGAAAAATGAAACTATTGGAGAAAATCACTTTTGAAGCCACTGAAGGAACTCTAATTTCTGTCAATAGTGTTTGGTTGTCTTCTTCGTTGTTATCATAAACATATCCTGATCTTGTATGAGTCACCAAAGGTATTGAAAAGATTTCAAGTTCACCAGTTTCAGGATATTTCAAAATGCCTCCCAGAGATACGGCATCCAACTCGGTATAGTAGTTCAATTGAGAATGATTGAACTCTATACATATCTGACTACACGCATAATATTTGAATATTAATGTTATTCGCAACTTTCATTGTCTTACAGCAGTATATGTTTATCTTACTTGACCCGTTCTTTAATGACTTTTAATTTAGGAGCAAACAATCTTGAGTATCTTAAACCATTACAATTTTGAGGCAATCCTTCCCACAGTAGTCGCCACGCCATCGAATCAGGAAGGTCAATAACTTTTCCTGATATACGCACAACAGATCCAGGTGTGAACGTTTCGAATATGGATACAACCAAGGGCACAACTGGTACATCAAATCCTAATACTAAAATATAAGATAATCATAAGTTGATAATTCAATAATTTTTTTTTCTATCATCATACTTATATAATCTTCACTTTTTATTCTCTCTGCATTTTGTGGCATTATTGGACATTTTCTAGATGGTGCAACATCTTTCCATGGTCCATAAGTTCTCTGTAAAAACAAAAATGATGTAATTAACAAATATTACATATTTATAAATAATTAAAAATAAAAAACTAAACTAGTGAGTAATGTTAAACATGTTACATGCAATAATATTCAACTTGTAAAATGTAAAATGAATAACCACTTCTAGTCATAGAAAAAAATGTCTTCTTCTCCTTCTCCTTTATCCCAACTATTTTGGGTCAGCCACTTTCATCTTAAACTTCTACTTGAGCTGATCTCCCGCCTCTCATACACTGACTGTCCTCGCATCATTCTCAATCACATCCAGCTACCATATTTTAGTCTTCCTCTCCCCTTATTCCTCCTGTGTCTATTTTCATTACAATTCTTACCGCTTCTGATTCCTCTCTCCTAATGACATGTCCAAACCATCTGTCTATTTTTCTTTCATTTTGATTACTATCGAAGCCACACCTAAGCTACTCATTCCTTATACTATCTTCTCTCATCACTCCAGTCATCCACCTAAGCATTCACATCTCTGTTACACTTATTTTCTATTTTTCTTTGAATCATAAAACAGCCAGTCTCACCATACTATTGTAGAACTTACCTTTAAATCTTATATTTATCTTGTTGTCACATAAAACACCTAACGCTTCTCTCCATTTTATTCAACCACCATTATTTAATATCCTCATAGAAATTGTTATTCTTCTATACAAAAGATCCTAGGAACTTAAAAACCTCAAGCTCACCTTTAATGTCACTGCTTATTGTCATTAGTTATCTTATCCCGTTCCTTTAAACTCATACTATATGTACTGTTTTATTTCTACTTATCCTTCAAGTGCCACTTTCCTCGGTACCTCACCTTGTATTTCATTGGTAACTTCATCTATTACAACAGAAATTTGGTAAGGCTTCAATACCAATCTTTGATGCACACCTACACTTAGTCTTAGAAAAAATGAAAAAAAAAACTTGAATTCAAGTAGTTTTTAATTAAAAAATGTTTTATTTAATTTAGTAATAAATAGAAAAAATATATCAATAAATTGATGACAGGCTGATTGGCTTCAATGCCTACTAGACCAATATGTGTGCCAAGTACCTATACACTTGTAAAAAGTTTATTACAAAACTCACCATGACATATGACTGAGGAAAGTCTCCATAATTTGGAAATTTGCTTGGTTTCCCCGTAAGATTACTAGCCGTGTAAGATATGCTAATGTCGCTGCCATACTGTGAACTAAAATCCACCACTTCAGATGAAAACTGAAAGATGAAATTGTCAACAGTGACATGATGCTTATTGCATAAGTTGTTTGGCATTTGGTCCATATATGAGCGAGTATAGTCTATGTAAGGTTTGCAAAGCTTTCTGAGTTCGCCCAAATTAAAGCCAACCTGTTCTTCAGTCATGACCAAATTCGTCGGTAATGCCGATTAAACGAGTGGCTTTAAAATCCATTGATTAGAATAACTAGTGACTTATTGTATTGTGAACGTGTTAATGGTTATTGTAAAGAAATTAAATAAACTCTAAACAAATAATTACTATAATGAAACTAATAAAATATAAATATAATGACTATATTGTTATTCAGTAGGTACAGGGTCCCTATTTAATATTTACACTACCACGATTCACGAATGCTCCTGCCATCTTGAATGCAGAGACCATTGTTCGCAAAATTGATAACGAATATACCAAGCGCTACCAACTTTGAAAAAAAGAAAAGTTCTATTTTGCAATAATATTACATGTTTCAAACTCGTCACTGGTCATTTTTTTCTTGGAAATCTTTTTGAACTTTTTAAAATCAACATATATCGAACTACTTGTACTTAATGTATGAATAATAATATCTAATCATTTGCCTTAGTAAATTCATCAAATTACGAATTCACGCTGAACAAAACTTTATATTTATATTTAAATTGTACCTATTTAAAATATATAGGATTATAGATATAGGTATTGATGAAGATTTAAGTGGACGTTATACCTGCATCTACAACTGTCTCAGTCAAACTACCAGGTGACATACAAAAACAATGCTTACGGAGAATAAGTAAAACTAGCCTAATTTTGATTAAAATTAAATTTATAGAGAACAATATTTTGGAGAGAATGTCATCGGTGTTTGTTGAATTATGACCTATTAAAAAAGTTACAGTTATTTAAAAAAAAGCAAAAAAATAATGGTTTTTATATCTTTTATATCGAGCTGTATATTTTGAATAGTACAAAAACCTTTTGACATTCTCTCCAAAATATTGTTCTCTATAAATTTCATAATAGGTACTTTTACTCTAAAATCAAAATTCAGCTAGTTTTATTTATTCTACTTATTCTTAATAAATCAAATAGGTAATATAGGTACAGATTCATAAATCATTAATGATTTTTAATCTTTACGCCCCAATAATGGATAACGTTTAACTGTTTGTGATATATTATTTACGTTATTGCCATGTACCTATATTTTATTTGAAGCACACAATTATGTTGGTATCAACCTACCTAAGATGATTTAAACATAGTATTTAATTCCAAGGGTGTTTCAAAGCCATCAGGACAAGTGTGTGTGACGTGAAAATAATGTCGATCGCTTTACTTATATTATTAGCTGTACCTATTTACCTTTACCTATATAGGCACTTAACGACGCTGAAATAAAGTTTCTTACCTATATGTTTCTGTAGACACTAGAACTATAGAAAAGTCAAACAGAAAAACAAAAACATCACTAAATATGCCCAAAAATTAACTAATATTAAAATTTAAAATAAAAATTATTCAAATTGTATTGATTCATAGTTAAGATTTTACAAAATTACAGTGGTTGTGTGTGTACATAAAAGATATAACACACTTCTCACAAAACCATTTAAATACTAGTCATTTATTTATTATTGGTAAAAAGAAACGGGTCAATAAACATAATATACAAACTCCAAATTGACTTCGAATTTCTATTAATTTATTCTTTCGATTGTTACCTGTTACTTATATAAAATACTGCTTAGCCGGAAAACACGACTTCTCGAATCACAAGCTTTGTAATTTTTTTCTGTTTTTATAACAATTTATATTTATTATGTTATGTTGTTAGGTGCTAAGTAGGTACCCAGTTAATATTCGTCTCACGTACAGGTACCTATAGGTGCATATTATCGATGCACAAAGGTATCTACTTAAAAGTATAATTAATTGCTTTTTGCTTACAATTTCGGATACGTTATTACCTACGATAAACAGATAGGTACCGTAGTACCTACAGGAAAACATTCATCATTCGTAACTATTTATGCGAATGATAAAAATTCATTGGACAATTATCACGACCGCGACCACCGGCGTTGCTCGTTCAATGACGATCGTCAGAGCCCAGCAAAACAAACGGCTAAAACGAGCTTAAAATAATAAAATATAATAAATTCTTTGTCACATTGTCGGGTAGTTATTATATACTATTATGGCATATTATGCAGTGTACACTGTAGAGCCATGAAGTATATTGCACATTTTATTATAAGTAGGTATGATATTTCGTAAATAAATAAATAATTTGTCATTTTTATTATTATAGGTATAGCCGTATAGGGCTATAGATAATTCAGTACTTAATTTAATGTTCAACATGGGTGTGTTGCTATCTATTATATAGATAGGTAAGTAATAGGTAAATAATAGAAGTAAATGAAAAAAAAGTCGATACCTACTGCTGATGTGTATGCCACCATTGTAGGTAAAATTAGATACTTAGGTACCTATTTAATTCATATTTGTAAGCAATAATAACCTAAAGTAACACCCAGATAAAATTTTCTATTAGAAAAGATGCTACATTTTATGCATCGGAGCAAGAATTTAAAGTAAAGTTACTTTAGGTGTTAATTATAGCTAACAAAGCACGCTTCTGAGTGAAGTTCGGTTATATTCCATATTTTGAAATTTTATAATTTTAGATTCTGAGTGAAGCGTGAAATGTATATTTGTTTTACAATGATGTTTATTATTATTATTATTATTTTCTTTTTATCTATAAACAACATTTCTACCTACCTACTAGTAATCTTGCTCCGATGCAAAAAATGTAGCACCTTTTCTAATAGAAAATTATATCTGGGTGTTACTTTAGGGAGGACATTTTTCAATTTTCTCAAGAGTTTTCTTATCAAATGTGAAAAACTGAAAAGAAATTGAGGAAAAATAGGAAAATGTACGAAATACCTATATTAGTAAAATATTTCAATTTTTTTCTGTGGAAAACTTTTCTACTAGTAATTTTGTTCCATTTTACAATGATAGCACTTTTTCTGAAAGGTATGATACTGAAGATTATTTATAGAATTTCTCAAGAGTTTTCCCAGCAAATGTGAACAACCGGGTAAACGTAGAAAAAACAAAAAAGGATACAATATTAAATAAACAAATATTATTAAAGAAAATATATGTTGCCTATTTAATTATTTTACCATAATATGATAAATATATATTGTTGACAAAATATTACTAACAACTGAACTCTGCTTAGAATCGTTTTTTTTTTGTTAACAATGGTTTATCGTTGCTTAAAGATATACATTGAATTATTTTCTGTATTCTACCTTCCCAACTTCCCACTCACAACAGTGGCTGCATCTGTTCCCATTATCCTAGGACAACTTTTTAAAACTTATGTTTTTTAATACAATCTTGCTTCAATCAAAAAAAGACAAAAGACCTTTTTTTGTCGCTTTTTGGATTTAGTTAATCACGATTTAAATTTATTTTTTGATTTTCTAAGTAGTTTTCATAATAATTAGGAAAAACCAAAAAAAGAAGAAAAATGAAAATAGACAAATTTACGGTGTAACAATCTCATTAGTCATTTACTAGAGCTTGGGTTTATATGTATTTAAAAATTGTCAAATATGATGCAAACATGCATACAAAAATTGGCTATATGTATTATATTATACTTAATAAAATATTTAAAAAAAAAATAAAACACTATTTTTACATCTTAACCGAAAAAAAAAACCAGTTGTTCAGTTAAAAATACAGTCACATCACTGTTTTGAAGAAAAAGAGTATGATTAATATTTTTTATTCAAGGAGTGAAAAAAAATATTTTGCCTTAAGGCACTTTAATATGTATTTACACTAGATACTGCTTGTGACTAATTAAACACGAACTAAAATATATTTAGTTACACAATTTTGGTATAAGATTCCTATAATAAGAATAAGACTTCAATAAATTAGAATAGAGATTTAATTTTTAAAGTTTCTAACAAATCATCATTCAAATTTATTTAAGGTGTTTTTGTAATTTTGAAGATTTAATTAATAAATAAGTATTTTTAAAAATTCTTCTCTTACATTTATTGTCGGTAGGTATTTCATTTTTTACTTTGTGGGATGGACAAAAACTTTTATAGCTGCATCATATAGCAAACGTTTCACAAAGAAAACAAAACTTTATAATTTACAATCTTTTTTAAAACGTATAATTTTATAGATTCTGAGCAGAACGAGTAATATTTGACTTAGTGATCAATTAAAATAAATAAAAATAAAATTAATGATAAGTGATCACTTGGTTTGTGTCTATGAAAAACTTTTTTACCAGAAATGTTTCAATCAAAAAATTATAAGAAAACTGTTTTGTAGCATTTTAGATCTATTTGTGAATTAAGGGGAAAATTTAAAAATTTTCCTTGGTGTTGTCATGATCAGTGGAAAAAGCCTGGTCAAATCAGGAGAGTTGATTAAAATAATAGTTTCATAATTATCAATTTTGTTTTTCATTGTAATGCGGTTTAAAATAATTGTTTATTTTTTAAAATTATTTTGGATAAAAAGAAATGTTTGAGAATTTTACACAAGATTCATCAGAAATTATAGGTACTTATGGTTAAAAATAAAGTAATGTAGTATTTTTTTTTTTTTTTAATACTTTAAGTACAAATATTAAGGAAAATTATAAGAATCATGTCATTTCAAAACATATTTTAAAAGCATCATATTTTGTCATTAATGATTTATAATTGTGTACAGATCTAAATTAAATAACCTATCTTCCCTACATTCCCACCTACACCAGTAATATTAGCCCGTTTTATATGATATTTCTAGTCTACGAGTATACTATCAAATATTTTAGTGTAAGTGTTAAAAGACAATTGAACCCTTATGGGAGAAGGTAAGACGAGACACTTGCCCCTCCAGAAAAAAATACTTGTAATAAATTGAAATTTAGACCTTCATTTAGCATACATTTTAAGACTTTTTTATCCCCCCATAAAATTACACCAATGTTAGCAGATGTTAATATTATATGTTGGTCTTGAAATTAATTGAAAATTAAATAAAATATACCCATACAAATATTATTCTTATTATAGCTAGATATTTCATTGCATGCAAATTTAATATATGGCATACCATGAAAAATACACTTAATATTTCACATAGTACAATTTTAAATATTTATTATTTGATATATAAAAAAAAAAAAACATATAATATATTTATAAAAGTATGACAAGATATTCTTCAAAATTAATTTTTTTAAGTGATCTTAATAAAAAATAAAAAAATAAATAAATAAACAAATGTAAACTATTATATTAAGTTGTTTCAGGTAAATAAATTTAACATTTTATTAAAGTTAAATTTAAGTAAAAAAAAAAAAAAATCAATAACAGTATTAGTTATTTTACTAATAGAATATTCTTATACAAATTGTAAACACAAGTATTTCAAATCCCAATATTTCTTTTGAATCTTAAATTTAGACTTTTAGATATTGAGGTAGACATACCATGAAACATGTTTACTGAGTTCCAGTGGAAAACAATGCAATTAATCCACTAGCAATTCCAACAGAAAATATGTAATTTCTGAAAATACTTGAGTTAAGATAATATATACATAAATCCTATTCAAACATAAATAATTGTTAAACATTAAATTGAAAATAATATTTTTTTTTATCATAGCCATTGACATAAGAGTATTTTTCTTGCATATTAATTATATTTGTTAGCAGGAAATGTGTTATGTAAATCTACATCAAAATGATGCTAGTACAAAAATGTTGCCATATAAAATTTTGTAAAAACCCAGCAATCAACTTTATGTTCACCTAATTATAGTTTTGATTATATTCAGTTACTAACATTTGTTAGTCTTACTGCTTAGTCCTTGGTATTTTTTGCGGGTGGTATGGCACCAGCAATAAATTGTTTAATTTTAAAATTATTTAAGCATTTATATTTTCTTAATAAATCAAATCGATTGATAACCGCAAGAACTCAAAATTGAATTGAAATAATTATGCCAACACTCAATTAAATTATTAGTTTATGGAATAATAGACTTTCAAAAATAAAATTATTAAACTTTAGTAGTTCTCCATTTTTTTGATTCATATAAATTCGAAAAACATGATGACACTGTGATGGTAAAGTATTATGTTCAACTGAATTTATATAGTAATAGGACAATTAGTGATATAATAGTCTGAAATTTACTGAATTACTACTATTACGTAGGTAAATAGTATTGTAAACCAACAATTTTTGCACAATTTTTATATCAAGTATAATAAATTATTATTTATTATAAACATATTAAACTTCCCACAATTTTTAAGAACAAACAATCTTTTTTTATAAAGTTTAATTGTTATAAGTAAAAATAATAAAATTGTAAATGTCAACCATATAAACTGTATAAATGACAATGTTTAACACATTCACTATCACTAATGCATTTAAAATAATAATAGTGCATTTACATTAAAATCTGATAACCTGATAAAAATAAAAAATTGAAGAAGTTGATTTTTTTTATGTAGCAACATTTTGTATTTGCCTCATTTTAACACAAGACTTTTTTACCGCAGCATTATTGCCACGTCAATTTACTAACCCATCACTAGTCGCATGGGATAAATAATCTCCTAGAGTATTTATAAATGTTTTTTTTATAGATATTATTTGTATGACGGGTTCATAACTTTGCTAGCTTATTGAAATCATACCATTTTTTGATTATATCATTTAATTTATTGAAAACTATTTTAGTGTGTTTGGTTGTGTAACCCTGGTTTGTATCTCATATGGAAAATATTAACCCATGCGACTGATTAGTAAAGAAAGTTTTTTTTTTAATTTTTATTTATACAGTAATATGGAATGTTATTTGTTTAAGGTTAATAAAATAATTATTTTTATCCATGAATGAGTTTTTATAAGGTACAAGATTGCAATTTAAAGAAATAATTTCAAAATATTTTGTGTAGTAGAAAATGTTTACCCTATACAACCAAATATAAAAGAATGTGACCAGTGACGGGTTAATAAAAAAATTTAACATTTTATATGACTTGACCAGACTATTAAAATATTTTAAAAATGTAGTTTTATTAAAAGGATACGCTGTTGTTGAAAATCCTTTTAGAAGATAGAAACTCAGCAAAACTACAATGACCAAAAATAATGCGTTGTTATAGAAAATTGAAAATGCTGTTGATTCAAAATCGGCAACATCATTTTTTTGGAATAATGCTCTAAAATCAAACAATAAAATATTAATAATTAATGACAATTAAAAAACAATTGAATAAATATAATTGTATTAATAAAATAATAATCTAATTTGAATAACTAATACCTTGAAAATAATTCATATCGGTAGCAGGTCACATCCTTGCTGTCCAATTAACCTCAAACCTCTTTTTTTTCTTAAACTAAAATCGCCAGTATTTTACTTTTTACATATCTTTTATTTATTTTTTTATTAAGTACTTTTTACGCATTCTAAGGTCATAATAAATAATTTAGACTTAGAAATAGAAAAATATAAATACAACTTTAAAAAATAAAATTATGATTAAAATATTTAATACACAAGACCGAATAAGATTATCAGCAGACAAATAAACTACTATAAGAACGGCGGTTGTTGAAATAATGTTTATAACAAAGTATTATTACACTAGTATGTACCTACTCCACTACTTTTATATAAATTATTTCGGTATTGTTATAAATAATATGTTTTTGCATAGGCCAAATACAGCTAAACCAGCCGTGACTCACTTAAACAATGATATCAACAGATAATAAATACTTTTATTTTAGTTTAAGAAAAAAAATGTACAGATTTACTAACATTTATTAATTATACCAATATTATACAATAATAGGTTTGTTTGTTAAAGGTTAATTGGACGAGAAATGTCGGAAAAAAAATGTTATGACTAAATGTTAATAACACAGTTAATAACTTGTAAACAGACTATTTTGTTGATTGAAAATCTGATGCATCGAGAAGCAATCTAATTATTAATCAGATTAATCGAGTTTGATGAAGAACATCGAAATCCATCGGATTGTTCATCTGATTGATAATCTAGCTTGCCGAAGAACATGTAGATAAACAATTTGGTGGGTGATTGATAACGTAATTTAGTGGTACCTAATTAAACTTAACATTAGGAGGTTGATTTCTCTACAGGTTTTATAGTTTCAATTAAATATAACTTATATGTATCTTATGAATAGGTGGGTCCTCAGAAATTTCCCTTTGGCCACCAATATATTTTAAAAAACTGTCACTGATTAATAAAATGCTACCAAATCTCAAATTTGGAAAATGTGCATTAAATAACCAGCATAACAAATAAATTTATTTTTAAAACTAAGTTAGTAAGATATCATAATGTTATTTCTTATACCCCCTTGTATTATTAACTAAAAGTAAAAAAATAATAGCAGAAGCTCTTTTGAAATTACTTGATTAAAATTAAAATAACACACATTTTAGATTTAATGTGATGTTTCAAAAGAAACAGACAGGTTATTATAACATATATCCTCAATATAAATTAGAATTAACGTTTTCAGTAATACAGTAAGAACAATTAATTATTAAATTATTAAATTTTATAGGTAGTAAATAATTTGACTATAGACTGATTTAAGTGAAGTGCCCCATACTTATTTACTAAATGTATTGTAATCATTTAATAATAATTATAATTAAATGTAATACTTTTCATCTTTTTCTTTCTTGCTAATTTTCTTATCGTCGGCATACTTTCTAGTAATTTCTCTAGTTACAGCTTCTTCTCTTTTGATTGCAATCTAAAAATAAATTATAACTTTACTTTCTTGTCTCCAGACATATGATATAAGAGTACAGTAAATGCATACCTTATGTTTCAGTATGAACTTAGTGTTTTTATATGCAAAAGCAATGAGATAAGTGCTGCCCAATGTGACTAGAACGAACCACAGAAGGGCGGGCATTATTTCGATCATGTGTATTCTCCAATAGAGCCCTATGAACGATTAGTTATGAACAAGTCATTTTTCGTTAAGTGTAAAATTGTATACAAGTATACTCACAGATCGGCAGTAAGGACACCATGAAAGCACTGCCATAAAACATTGCCGAAGACTTGGTGGAAACATTTCTGCTGAAATCCGACAATAGTTGTTCTTCTTCTTTGGTAAAAAGACTCTCAGTAATCTTTTCCTTTTTGCCCATTTTATTTATTAGCTAATGTTTTTTGCGAGGGGTAGTACGCCAGTAAACCAACCAAGGAAAGACGAGAAAGTGAATGAATTGACAGCGTTTGCATGAGTGTTATCGAAATCGAAATAAAACAACTGTCTCTCTGACACGCTATGATACGTGTACTGCTGTTTACAGTTACGTTTACGTTAATTACTTCACGTATCACGACTTGGGTCACCAACCATGTTCAACGTGTACGAACTCACACAGAGTAACCAGTCATGTAACTCAAAATTATCCCGTCCTAGAAATGTCTTGATAACACTGGCTATTTACATCCTATAAAATATTACGTTATCAAGCCGCAAGAAAACATTGTTTTTTTTTTTATACACATAAATGATATATCAAGTCTATGGTTTCTAAGTGAAATCTGAATTGTTGCTTACAAGTTATGTCTCATTTTATTTTCATCAAATGGTTTTTATCATCCTATTATAAATCTATTTAATGAATTACAAGTATCCATTTAGTAATTATTAGTTATAATTGTTACAAATTATATTTAATCTACAGATTTTCAACTAATCCTTCACTGCGTAGTATTTGCCTCAAAAACTAGATTTTTGTAAAGTGAATATAAGTAGTCTAATTGAAGTTTGTTCTCTAGGCATTTTAAAGACACTTGTTATTATAATTATGTGCAACCAAATGGTGATACTAATACCAAAAAGATGTATAGAAGGCCTGATTTCATTCCAACATAACATTGGAAATCTATTAAATAATTTTAAAAAAAGGCCAGTACCTCTATAAGTATCTGTATTAAATTTAGATATTTATTTGTTTTGAGTTAATTAAATAAAATAGTTGTCAATTTTTGGTTTTTAAATTGTAGGCATGAATTTATCTCAACAGATGTTTATGGTAAAAATGTACCAGTATGCAACAATGTAATATGGTCTACAGTTTAAAATGCTACATTGATTGATACATTTAAAAAAAAAAACATTTAATGTTTTGCCAAATTCTAGTACAAAAAAATCATTTGATCCTTCACTAAATTCTACATTAAGGTATTTATATTTTTTAATTATGCATTTCAGTCTACTACAATTTCTTCTATTAATTCCTTGTTGCTTTCCTTTCATTTTTTCTATGGTCCTCTTGGTTTTTTCCCCTCATCATATGTGTCTTTATGTTTTTCAACATACTTCAGCCTACAATCATAATCACAGAAATTTTGTTTCAGCTATTTCAAGAAAGTTTCAAATTTTGAAATAAAAAATAACTAAGAATAATAGTTTGGCTATGACAATATTACTTTATAAATATCTTTGCCCAAATGCAGTTACTTCAACCAAACTCAAGCCATTCATCCTTATCTCTCTGGCAGAAGCTCTATACTTTGAAAGTTATAGTAACAAAGTAACTACAAATAAAGCCAAATGATAAAAGATAAAATTGCTTAAGTAAAAAATTCTAATTATTCTATCTCTTCATCAAGAGAACGCAACTAGACGGCGATCAAAATTAATTTATTCTCATGCATTTCTACCACTATTCTAGTGTGATTGTTTCGAGTTGTACACCGTTATTTTTGTCAACTGCCGTGTGGTGGCATTCAGATATCGGTGACCGCGTAGTGTGGGATGCTTGAACAAGTTGTGTTCTCTTGATGAACAATATATAAGATATTTGTATCTTTTACCATTAACAAAAGTACTAACTGGATTCTAAAACATTTGTTCTTAGTGAATATCAAATAATAGCACCATATTATTGATTTGACATAAATTAATAATGTAACTCTTAATTTTCCATGTGAGTTAACTAAATTCAAAATTGTATTCAATGTAATTGATTTAAACCTCATATTATACAATATTAACTGATTTTTGAAAACTTAAAGGTCATAGTACTCATTACATTGAATTGAAAAACGCTAATCAAAATGTTCATGTGATGTACAAGATTTTCATATTTTTACAACAATGAGCAACGTCAAAAATTATATTAAATCAGATTTGAGGACTGGTTAATATAAAACAAGGTCTAATCTTATAAAAAGTAGATTTTCATCTGATGGCAATTTTTATAAATTAAGTTATTTTATTTTTAATTTAACATTTAACTGAAAAAAATATAATGTCATTATTATTTTTTTTTTTTTTTAGGATTTAATAAACTATCTGTTGTCATCAATAATTCTACTTGGCTTATTATAGATGAAAAACTAGAACTTGCATCAAACATCAAAAATGAATAGGTTTCCAGATTGAATTGTTGAATGCACATATTTTTAATGTCTAATGCATGCAATAATCTAAAATAATACATTTTCATATAAAACAAAATTATTCAATATTGTTTATATTATTATTTATTCTAAGCAATATGAGGGTGTAGTGTCATTGTCCATTACAGGGCTGTTAGTTTTAAGAACTATCATTTTGAGTAATTACAAAAAATAGCCTAACCCCTAAGAAATGGCTCTATTTTCACTTTTCTTTACAATTTGTTTTTCCTACAACACATTCTTCATTAATATGAGAACACAGTGTGCTAGCACAGAATGTTATTTGTATCTACGTTTTAGACAGACGTATTAATTTGATTATGGGTAAAATATTTTAAATTTAGTAACTGATAATATAATTGTTCCTTTCATATTATAACAATACTCTTTTAATGAAATATTAAACTATACACTATATAATTATTTAAAAAAAACATTATTACTAATTATTATAAGATAAAATATTTATTGTAAAAATATATTTATAATAATAATCAACTTATTTTTTATACTTCTAAAGTTTTAAAATCTTTAACTTAAACTGTTTTTATTTTGGATCTATACAATAATTATAATCTATATTATAAATAGTTTAAATGAAAGTGTTCTATTAAACCACTCATTAAATAAATAAAAGAATCAATTTTTACTTTTAAATATTACGTAAACATGTAAAAATATCAACGTTAAATTGAAAAACGTATGTAATTAATTTTGAAATTAAAAAAAAAATAACTTGGAATTAACCAATTAAAAAATTTAATTGAATTGCAAATTATCAATGTTAAAATGGATTCTTTACTGAATAAGTGAAATTATAAGTATGCATTAACAATTAAATTTAACAAGAGAATGTGATAAATAATAATTTATGACTATAAAATATAATTGTCAGCAACACTAACATTTCTTTCAATATAATTCCAATAAGACAGGATTCCTAAATTATGATATTGCAACTGTGTGTTAGAAATATTTGTATCTAGGTAATTTGTTTGTAATTTATCCTTTTGAACAAATAATTATGGTATTAATTAATTGTTATATTTTTCTGAACGTAATTTAATACAGATGCCCTACAAATTGTTAATTAAATCTTAAGTCTCGAGGAAAAAAAATGAAAAAATATCTAACCAAAAATATAAATGAATGCGAAAACAAAGCATCTCAGATATTTTTATCATGAGTAATATTTTAAAAAGCTAACCATGGTTTCAGATTAGGTATCATTTTGATAAATCATCAATTGAAAAACCTATTACTTTTTTTGCCATAGAACGTATATAGTTTCCCCGTTATTACTTTGTTAAAGAAATATAATACGAAATACGAATATGGATGGGCCGGTCTCATCGACTTGAGTAAAATAGTATATAGTAGCGCACCAAACTGGTGGTGTTAGAACTATTAAGTAGAAGTATGGACATAATTTCGAAAAGGCGTACCGCGCGCAAAAATTATCACCGGCGACTGGCGTTCAGAACTGATTAGAACAACAGCTGATATACAGTGCGTGCTAAACCCCGGTACCGTGCGCTAGAGCGTCGATTTCAGTTTTTCATCCATGTAAAACGCACATATATACTCCTTGGGGTGTGCTTAAATCGGAGTCGAGCTGAGTCATATTGTAAGAATCCAATGCCCGTAGTAGTACAATACCGCCGCCACCGTTAAGCTATTCGTTGAAGACCTCCATTCTGTTGTGGACGACGTTCAGTGGTTTTTTTTTTCCTACTCGTTCGCGGTTTTTTAACGTATTCCGTACCCGTAAACTCTAGTACTGTGACAGTACATACTTTCGCGCTCGCACCCATAACATAAATCGCAATGGCATCGGGAGTGACCGTAGCGGACGCATGCAAAAAGATCTACGAGGAAATAAAAAAGGACAAGAAGCACAGGTACGTGGTATTTCACATCAAAGACGAGAAGCAGATCGACATCGAGAAGATCGGCGAGCGTAATTATGACTACAGCCAGTTCCTAGAAGACCTACAAAAGGGCGGACCGCAAGAGTGTCGTTACGGTCTATTTGATTTCGAATACACTCACCAGTGTCAGGGCACATCTGAGAGCTCCAAGAAGCAAAAGCTCTTCTTGCTCTGCTGGTGCCCAGACACGGCCAAAGTCAAGAAGAAGATGGTCTACTCGTCCAGCTATGATGCGCTCAAGAAGTCGCTGGTAGGCGTACACAAGTCGTTCCAGGCCACCGATCTCTCGGAAGCATCCCAAGAAGTCATCGAGGAGAAGCTCAGATCCACTGACAGACAGTAAAAAAATAAATTATTTTCAACACACATACATATTATGTATATTTATAAAAACAAAGTTTTCATCTTTACGTTTTGGTATTAAATTAAATAAAAATAAAAATACAAAAAAATTACCTAGTACTTCCACAACGTAATCATTTATTACAAAATATTATTATAAATTTACTAACATTTTTAAATAAGATAAAAAAAAAAACCAAATAATCATAATATTATACATTGTTATAAAGCGAATATGTTCCCTTATAGGAACATTTATTTTATACCTATATTATTATTTTAAGTATTTTAATGCATGCGTGTTTAATTTCTCATGGACAAATTATACGTATTTCGAACTTGAAGCTCTCTATTTTGTTGGTTTTTTTTTTCATTCATTTTTCCGCGTATAGTTTTCCACTATACTAGTAATGTCGTATTTGCGGGTTGTGTGTCTGTGTGTGTGTATGTGTGTGTGTGTGTACATTATTGATGATACTAAACTGTAACATTCAGTTTTAAAACGAGTAGTATTAATATAATAATACTATTGTATCAAGTATTATGATTACACAGCATTGGTTTTATTTCTTTAAAGCCGTGTCGAATACGAACTTTGGTCTGTTCGGTTTCTTTTTCTTCCCATTTCCCAGTCTATTATCGGCGTTTACTCATCCGACTGATGCACACACGCACACACACACGTATAATATACGGTTGGCTAATTTTATTTGGTTTTTTTTCACCGCCGTCGCTCTGTCGGCTTAGTAGGGTCGGCGGCGGGTGAGATGGAGAGTGTACCGCCGCCGAGGCGAATGGACGCGGAACAGAGTAACAGACGCGTTGATAACGGCGATCGGCTGATAGTGTGGCGGCGGCAGGGGGGCGCAGTGTTGCCAACGTCACCGGTAGAACGACGTGCCGGTCGGAGCCGCGCTGAGCCTTTAAATGGAAGGCCGCTGCCATCGCCGCCGCCGCCGGAGTCTCAAATTAAACGTTTCTAAAATAAGAGCTTTGGTCGTCGTCCCACACGTAGCGATGGACCGCAAAAAACGATACCCGAGTACATTATATCGTGTAAAATGACGTAAACTATCGTTGTATTTGGGTGCGATGACTCGAACGACAAGACGGCGAATTTAAGAAATAGGTATTGAAATTAAAAAATGAAAAAAAAAACAACAGAAGGTACCCACTACTACGGAACCTAATAAGTTTTTGTTGTACTATTACCTAACGTAAGTACCGAAGAAAAACTTTTATTTCAACAATCTGTTTTAAACGATATTGGTATTGTGTATTATTGGTGCTCTCTGTAGGCAACGCCGAAAGTAATAATAATAATAATAGGTAGTATTTAAAAATATCACGGTGACGCGAGGGGGAGCGATCCGACGAAAACTCGTAAAAAAGGGGGAGAGAAACACGCTGGTGAGCGGTGAGTAGGGGAACTAATATTCTACTACAACGGAGAGTGTCTGATGAATCATCCACCGAATTATCGCAGCCGTTCGATACCGCCTCCGGCCTGTGACTTTTCCTCGTTTTTTTTTTATTGTCGCCATATTATTTCGCATTTCCGAACAATACATTAATGCCCGCGGGCGAATCCTCCGCCGTCCGAACAGTAGACATAGGTACAGTCGGTCTGGACGAAGTGAAATCAAGTTTTTGTGCACCGGCGGCGGACGCCTCGTCGTGAAAATAAATACATTTTATTTTCGTTATTCCTCCGTCTCAATCATCTGAAATTTCTGGAACGTGTTTTTCTCGTTTTCGCCCGTTTAAAATTTGAACGTATTTTGTCTGTTCAAAATGGTGTTTAAAAAAAGAAGAAACCCCACTGTAGATACCGAAAAGTAGAAAACCGAAAGAAGATTTAAGAATAATAATTGAGAAAAACCAAACAATTAAAATTGATTAATATTCATGGTAACGTGGTGACGTTTAATTATTTTATATTTTGCAAACTATGTTTTTTTTACCATAAATATTATTCCAAAAGAAAAACGACAAGAAACTTTTTTTGTTACATTTTTAATCTAGTCCATGACTACGTACTTAATTTATTTTTTGATATTCTTTTTAGTTTTTTTAATAATTGAGCAAATCCGAAAAATATGTTAAAAGACCAGGAAAATTTACTAAAATAATTACTTTATTATTTTAAAGTTTGTTTTTTTTAAATTTAATTCAGTTAAAAATATCCATAGAGACTTGACATTTTGACAGCAAACTTATATTTATTTTTATAGACGTGGTAAAATTTTAAAACTATTTAAGATATTTTTGAGCTATTTATAGACATTTTAATTAATTTTGCTAGGTTTTTACGTAATTTTTACTTTCTAGGTTATTTGTAAAATATTTCTCTAGGTTGTTTACTCTATCGATATAATTGTTAGACTTAACAACAAATCTTGAAAATTTAACAGGAGGTTTATTATTAGTCATACTTAGTGGCCAGAAAAAAAATTAAGTGTATATTATAGTATTTTATTTTTTTTATAAAAATTATAAAATCAAATTTTAACAAAAATCGTAAGTATTACGGCTTTACAAAACATATATAACGGAACTTAGCTCCGAATCGTTTTTCGTTGATTCGATGATTTATTGTTGCTTACAGGTATAAATAAAATAACTTTATGTATCCTATATTCTCAACTACCCACCTACAATAGTGGCTGCACCCGTCCAATATCAAGCAAGTATAGTATTTTAATAACTATTATAGAAAAGATATAAAATCATGAGTATTTTATTTATCTAAATGAACACATTATTTGTAATTATTCAACACAGGGTTTTAACTGTATGGTATTGATATATATTTTATATCTTCAATTGTAATTTTGTTAGCGGCGTGTTGGTTGGAGGTAAAAAAAATATATTAGATCTTCAAGCACTATATTAATGATATGATATCATGAATAAATACCAAGTAAATTGAATGAAAGTATACTATACTAGTTTTTTTTTCAATAATTTATTTACTTAACGAGAAATTATTTATTTTGTATGACACGAAGTAAGATGAATAAACTAATTTAATGACTTGGGCTTGGATTTGAAAGAATAATAAATAAAAAAAGAGCACAAAATTGTTTTAAAAAGCAAAAATGAAGCACATTTATTTTTAAAAAAAGCGAAAAAAAATTACACAGACTACAAATTAACATGAATTAGTTATAAAACTGAATAAAAAAGAAATTGAAAAATTAATTTAAATTAAACAAAGAATTAACTACCATGTATTTTGTAAGATTTTTAGTAGTGAAATTGACTCTATTGTCTGACAGAATGTTTTTATACAAAGAAAATGAACGTTTCTAGAAAACAAAATAAGCATAGTTTTATCGGATAGTTGGAATATTGTACTATGATTAACTTTTTCCAAATATTCTCTGTGAATAACGATCATATTACTTGGATTTTGTGGTTGTAATGTGCCTATTATTACATTTGCAACATTACGACGTGCCGAGTCCGTAGTTTTATCATTAGATATCCTTATTTTCTGATCAGTTATTGTATCATGAATTTTTGCCAATATATTTTCATAAAAGGAATTTAAATATCATTTACGTAATGTCGACTCGTCAGGAATAGTTTTTTTGCAATACTTAGTTAAAAATTCGCGAAAATGTTTATTATTTAGTTTATTCATTGGAATATTTGCAGCTACCAATGTTTAACATAAATCGGCATTAAAATCTGACTGACTAATAAATTGTAGTAAAAATGGTTGAAGTAATATAGACTTTTCATTTTCGTGTCTTTTAACAGCTTGCACATGTTTTTTCTCTCCGTACATGCTGTTGTACATTATATTTCTTTTCACACGACACTTATTTCACAAAATTTGCATTATAAAATCAATCCACCCATTTGAAAAAATTTTCACCAAATTCTAACACTAATTTTTTTAAAAATGCATTTGTTTTAATTTTTGGCATTTTTATAAATTACAACACTAAAAATTAAATTTTGAAATGGTCGATATAGATGTTATATGAGTACCGACTCTACAGGCTTTATTATGCAGGTCGATAAGCTATCGTCGATAAGCTATCTGTTGATCGATAATTTATACGTTTAACACAATCAAGCCGATAGCGAAAACAATAATAATTCAATATAACTATTACCTAGCCATCTTTTAAAAAAGTTCGATGGAGTGTTTTTGTTGTGATTATACTTATACACACTAATACAATTTGTATTAGTAAACAAAATATTTTGACAGTTGACGGTAACATTTTTAATTGTTATTAGAAATTAAATGGATATACCTAAGAGTACAATAAAATATAGAAGGATATTTTTTTATTATTTAAAAAAAGTGGGTGAAAAAAGATAGGCTGGCCTACCTTGAAAAATTCGAACAGGTCGTGAAGTTGACTTGCAAATATTTGCTAATTATAAGGAATCGAACGATAGGGAACGTTACGAACGTGTGGGTGAAAAAAGGCGGGCTACATAAAGTTGGCCCAACTTTATTTTTTTTTATGTACATGAAAATAATGACTTATGAATTTTAAAACCAAACTTGCTAATTCTTGCTGATTATTTACTAAATTTATATATGGGTTAGAATGATTTGAGAGAAAGTGGGTGGGCCATCTTCACGATCTTGACGAATTAACTATTTTAATTTTTAATCACATTTTGTATCTACGACGGAGAACGATTGCTATGAAAAAATACAAACGACAACCGGAATAAACGAACGATTCATCTAAAATAACGATTCAGTACTAACTCACGAACAAATTGAACGTTGTTCATTAATGAATCATTTTATCATAAGAAGGACAACACTGTCCTGGATCATAATTCAGTGGAATAGATGGTAGTTCGCTTGAACGGGTGATCAATATACGTAGAGTATGATTCAGTGAACCATTTAAGCGATTCAACGAATAACGAACGTTTAATATAGACGTATGATATTCAATAAATCATTTGAACGATTTATTTCATGAATGATGAATCACTGAATCAATTCGTAATTTTTTTTATCACGAACCAGTAATAATTTTCTTGGAGGATTTTAAGTAAATTTGATTTCTGTTTTTTTAATCGTTGTGGGATTGTTGAAGATTTATTTTAAAACCATTTTTAATTTTTACCCCTACTCCATTTACCTTAAATAAGCATAGAACTTTAAATATAACCCCCAAATTTTTAAAACAGATTCGAATAGAGAATATTTTTTCGGAAATATTGATATACATAACACAAATATCAGGTACTTTTCACTAGTATATATGTCATATTATGGTAAAATAATTATATAATAATTATTAATTATGCATTATATATTTTTAATAATATTTGTTTTATATTGTATCTATTTTTTCGTTTTTCCTGGTTTTTCAAATTTATTATGAAAACAGTTGGGAACATCAAAATATAACCTCCCTAAAGTACCACTCCAGTCAGATTCCCTTTCAGAAAAGTGCTATCATTATAAATCGGAGTAGAATTACCGGTAGAAGAGTCACTCACAGGGAAAAAAAGGCCGTAATGTTTTTTTATTAATACCTATGTTTCGTATATTTTTCCTGTTTTTTCTATTTATTGAGAAAATTCCTGAGAAAATCAAAAAATGACTTTCCTAAAGTATCTCCCTAGTTAAATTTCCTTTTAGAAAAAGTTCTGCCATGGTGATTGATAAACAAAAATATCAGACAGAAATTTGCAAAATCTTTTCTACAAAAGTTATAATTCCTTTCCGGTCTCACATTCACGTGTGTGTGTGACTTGTTACTACTATTTTTACTATTGTTACTAATGTCTTAATAATAATATACTTTATTGTCCATCGCCTGATAGTAATTATAGTGTTATCCCAGATGGCACTCATCGAGTACCTTTACTTATTATTAATCATGTTCTATATCGGAGTAATCGTGACTGTGACTCAACGTGAAATTACAGGAATCGAGTCACTCGCACCGATTTAATGTGACATTAAGTGATGATTATAATTATCTTTTAAACAGCCCATTACTACAAATTTAACTTTCTTCCATATCTCTTATTCTTAAGTTACTTTACTAAAATTGTTATTTAGTATAAAACTATTCGTCCTTTAACCAATCTATCTGCAGTGTTTTGGTGTTTTTCTACGGAACTTTTTTTCTTCTGGAG